GGCGTGTGCCCACCTGCTCCGGGTGGCTCTCCTGCCCTCGGGGTTGGTCCCCGGTCATGAACTCTGACCCTGCACAGGCTGCGGAGCCCACCTGGCAGTGAGGCTGCAGGCCCTGGGGACCAGGGCCAGGCCGGACGCAGGCGGCCTGACTGGGGCACAGAGGGCTCTCCCCGAGCCGGAGGGTTTTCAGCCGCCACAAAGCCCAGGAGAGTCGGTGGTGCAGGGCAGCCGCCCAACGCATCTGCTCTCAAGTTGGCCTTGGGGTGACCAGTGTTGGGGGTGCTGGCACAGGCTCTGACACAGCCGGGCTGAGACCTCAGCGGGGTCCCCGTGGGGACCCACCACGGAGACTGCATGTGAGTCCAGGCAGGCAGGGCGACGGCGGCCAGGCGACCCTCCTCTGGGGCTCTTCTCTGCTGTCAAAGGGCCCTCCGTCCTCACGAGGCTCTTTCTGCCATCGTCTCTCCATCATCGGGGGGACAGAGTGCACCTGGCATGACCCGGCTGGCGGGCTGCCCATGTGGAGAGTGGAGCCCAGGAGGGGACAGAACCCACACGGCCAGTGGACAGCGCCGGGTCAGGAGGAGCTGCGCGTCCCGGGCTCCCCACAGCGTGCCGCAGACCCCGGGGCCGGCCCCTGTCACGTTGCTCTCGGGGGGTGGCCGGGGGTAGTGGACACTGTTTCAAAGGGCTTCTCTGCCCCCAGGACAGGGGAGGAGGAAGTGGCCGTGCTGCAGCTAAACAGGCAGAGTAGACAGAGCCCGGGGGGCCTTAGAAAGGACAGCCCAGTCACTTCCCGGCAGCAGGCCCCGCCCTGTGGCCCTGGCCAGCCAGCCGCCAGCAGGACCCACTGCCGCCAGAGAGACTTGGCTCTGAGGGCAGAAGGGAAACCCAGACGCCCTGCCCAGCAGGAAGCGGCCACCCCACACTCAGGCCGACTCTCCAGCCAGACTCCTGGGAAGACAGGCAAGGCACACCGGTCCCCAGGGCACCAGAGTTGATGGCGTGTACCTGCACGTACTGGGGACAGAGACACAGGTGGTGCCTATTCCACCAGCAGATATGTGAACAGGACCTGAGGGGAGAAAGGGGGAGAGGGCCAAGGACGGGTCCCTCCCTGCAGGACCCCAGTGGACCGCAGACCCTGCTGGGGCAGAAGGTGAGGGAGCTCCTCGTCAAGGCCCCACCTGCCCCCGCCAAGCTCCCACCCCCACGCAGAGTTTTCAGATGGAAAAGAGGAGTGCAGAGAGCAGGCAATCTTCAAAATGTGGCTCATGGTGACCAGGCCGGGGAGGGCTGGCGGCCCCCGCTCCGGCCCTCCTTGGTGGGCCCCCCTGCCCCCGCTCTGACTGCACCGCTGCCTTTTTGGTAAAGCCAGCTTTGCTATCACTTCCTCCCAAACGCTGAAAAAAGACATTGCATTTTAATGGGTTCGTGCCATTTCTCAGACCAAAGGCAAGTTTCCCCAAGAGACGCTGGTGGCCTGCACGGAACACAGTGTGACTCTGCTCGACTCTGCAGGGGACATTCTGGTCACTAATGAGCCCCTTCTGTTGAGAGGAGAGCTCTCTGTCAACCTCCCAGTTAAGAGTGCGGCTTTTGGAACTGCAGGCCCGGCCCCTAGAGACACAGAACGAGCACAACAGGCCAGGGGTCCTCAGAGATCTGCCCTAATGAGCATCCGGCACAGCCGGCGCTGCCCGGTGCACCCAGAGCGGCCAGCTGCCTTCCTCAGGCTGGGGCCGCAGCAGCGCAGGGCCCTGGGAGGCCGGGAGAAGCCCTGCAGGGAGGGGCGGCTCCCCCCCCCCACCACAGAGGGCCGCCGGATGCTGTCCGCGGTACTGCCTGTCACCCTGCCACCCCAGCTTCAGCTCACTGATGTGCCCTGGATGCAGGGGGTGACCCCACCCGATGGGCGCTTCCGGCCAGCCCTGCTCCCACTGACCACCGCGGACATAGCTTTGGGCATCAGCCCTGCGGGGACTGGCTTGTTTGTGGCGCTGCCCTTGGTGGCTCTGTCCCAGCCTCCCGCTGACCCTGCCGGGGGGGCCCCCCCCACTGTGTCTGCCAACTTACCCCCAACTCCCTGGGGCCCCTGCAGGGGAGAGGAGCGAGGGGCAGTCCTGGGAGCCAGGGCGGAAGTGCCCCCGACAAGGTGCCCCAGCTGCCAGGCAGGGGCAAGCGCCGCCCTGTCCTCCGAGGTCTTGGTCAGAGGCCCCCACTGGTGCTCACGCACAGACGGACAGGCGCCCCCCACCCCACCGTCGGCTCACGGAGACCTGGCGTGGGGTGTTCTCACGAGAGAAGGGCTTTGGGGCCACCTCGGGCCTCCATCTGGATCGTCTGTGACTTGGCACCAAGGGCCCGACCCAGACAAGCTCGGGCCGGGAGCTGCTGGCCAGCAGAGTCCCAGCTTAGAACACAAGAGACGTCACGAAGGCTTCGTGTGACGTCACAGGTGCCGAAGAAGAAAACCCAAAGCCGTCGGCACCGGAGCAGCACGGACGGAAGGCACAGCCACACTAAGAAACAGACCAGCGGGAGGAGGAGGAAGGCCGGCCGCAGGGCTGGCCCAGGGCGGCGGCTCTCCCAGTCCAGGTTCGGTGAACGAACCATTTCTCCCGCCGACACGGCCGATGGGAGGAGCCGTCTCACTGGATGGAGGCGGGCAGACTTGGTGCCCGGCCAGCTGCTCGTCTTGGCGGCAGGCAGCCCCGTGCGACCCCAGCGGAGGGGTCGCTGGCTACCTGGAGTGCCCGGACGCAGCACTGACACCCTCCAGGTGGCTGGTGACTGTGGAGGGCAACCAGGGCCACTCTGCTGGCAGGGGGTGTCCGGAGCAGGGGATGTGGCCTGGGGAGGCCCCAGAAGCCCCTGTGTGACATCTGGAGACACAGGCCCTATGACGACAGTGTGACGTGGACGAGGCCCTCCTCCCTCCGGTCCCAGGCTCCTTGCTCCCAGACGGTTCTCTGAGACTGTCGTTTCCTCCCTTGCAGGCTCCTTGAGGACGTAGCCCCAGCCTGGTGCTACGATGCCCCAGAGGTGGCATCAGCTCCAGCCACCTGGAGGCCCCTCCCCGGCGTCCTCAGGCCTCTCCAGGGTCTCCAGCAGCCCATCCCCGCCTTGGGTGACACCCAGGGACCGTGACGCAGGAGACACAGGCGGTGAAGCCAGAGCAGGCACCTCGAAATGGGTGGCTTTGTGTCATGGCTCTTTCCTCTTTCTGGTCTTCGCTTTTTTATAACTGTTCATCGGTGCCACTGTCCAGCACCTCCCAGATCTCGCAGACGCCGTCAAGGCAAACTCATGCTGAGCTGGACCCCAGGATGTGTCGACCATAATGCCACCAGCCGCCACCAACTGCCACCAGTCAAGGCAGCCCTGCCTGTGGCTGCCGGGACACCAGGCCTGTGAGTGGACGATGGGTTTGACCTGCACCTGCCGGTGCCCACCCGGTTGCTGCTCCTCCCTTGCTGGACCTGGTTCCCAGCGGGCAGCGTCAGGACAGCTCGCCGTCCGTCCTGACGCCACCCACCAGTCACATCTCAGCACAAGACCCTGAAACAATACAGGTGCATGGTTTGCCAGGAAGTCCCGTGTGGAATGGAAACAGTACCTCCCCCAGCCCCCCGCTGAAATGCACTGACACAGAAACTCCGCTTCTCCCACCCTGTCATTTTGGGAGAAAGGGGATGCGTCCAGCCCAGTCAGGAGAGAGATGGGGGCTCTTGGCTCCCTTCCTGGTTAGTGGCCAGGACCCCATGCAGCTCGGTGGCTGGTGCTACTGCTCTTTACAGACACACAGAAGCCCCCACCCAAGGTGGCCCACAGGCGCTGTGGGGCCCAGGCGAGGAGGCCCGATGTGACCTGTCTGGGGCCACGTTCTTCCTCCTGAGAGCCAGTGCCCGCCGCCCGCGTTCTGTTGACAGATCTGGGGAACATGTCATGAGGGTAGTTTGGCCCCTTACGGTGGGTTCCACCAGCAGATTCGCAGAGAGATGCTCAGTGAGGTGGAGAAAGCATCTCAGGTCTTGCCAAAGGGTCTTAATTCGCGGGCACGAATCACCTTTCAGAAAAACAGCAAAGGAGCTGGGGTGCCCTTTGCACCCACTTTTCACCCGGACCTGGGTGGACACAGGGCCGGGTCCCTCTCAGGCTCCGCCCTCCCTGGCCGCCCTCGCGTCCGGGGGGCCCGGCAGTGTCCGCCCTGGCGGAGGCGTTTCTCACGCCCACTGTCCTCAGTCGGATCTCGACGGGCCTTCACCACCAGGCTCCTTAGATTTGCAGGCCACACGGAACAGCGACAACCTCTCCCACCTCCCTCACTGCAGGAAGGGAGAGGGGTCAGGGCCCCCCAGAAGGGCGGGGAAGGGGGCGAACGTCCCCTCGGCCCCTCCCAACGGCAAGGTCAAAGGCGAGGCGCGCAGGTCTGCTCTGGGAAACCTGAGGCCGGCCCCCTCTCTGCCTCTGGACCCCAACCGAACCCTCCCTCCGAAGCTTCCAGTCAGCATCCGACCGCTACTCTGCCACCCGGGAAGTGAACACGTGAGACTGCAAAACTGGACCCCAAAATATAAAAATGAAATCCCCCGCAGAGGCCGCGCCTTCCTGAGGGCGGATCAGCCGGCGACACAGACACGCCCGAGCCCGAGGCCTCCTGCGCACCTGCGCCACCCCGGCTTCCCCGCGCGAGGCCTGTGCGCTGAGGCCCGCGGCGGTTCCCGGGAGAGGAGCGCAGGCGAGATGAGGCCCTGGGGGTCTGGAGGGGCAGAAGGACCCCCGCCCGAGATGCCCCGGAGTCAGAACCTCACTCCACCGCCTTCGGGCAGCCCCAGGCCGTGTCGCCGCGCACGCCCAGCGCCGCAGCCCCAGGGCGCGCCGTGCCAGGTGCGGAGAGCGCAGAGGCCCGGCCCAACTGCGGCGGCGGGCGGGGTCAGGGGACGGGGACACGGGAGGGGGACACGGGAGAGGGACCCGGGCGGCCAGCGGCTGCTCACCAAGGCTCTCCGCGGGCGGGCGGCGGCGTCCGACGGTCCCGCTCGGCCATTGCAGTGGCGCTGCGGCGGGCGGGGGGCGCGCGTCACCGCGGGCGGGCGCCCCAAACCCGGGCCCTCCCCCGACACTCCCTGCGGCCGGTCGTGCGGCTCCGCGACACCCCAGCCCCACCTCCTCCTTTTCTGCTCATCATTTTCTTCCACGGAGCGGGTTTGCGGTCTGTGAGGATCGGAAAACGCTTGTGCCGAGAATCGCCTCGGCTGCCGCGCACGGTGCGCGGAGGGCGGGGACGACGGAGGCGGCCGGGTTGCCCGCCCTGACCCGCGCCCAATAATGAATCCCCGTTCACGGCCGGGCTTACTCACCCCGTTTCACGCCGGATGTCGGCAGCCCGGCAGACTCGTGTGTTTTATCGGTTAACTCGTGGCTCCGCATCTCCCAGCGCTGCCTTGCACCGCCCCGGCGAGAGGGACGCTCCTGCAGACTCGCCCGGAGCACATCCTGCGGCTGCTCCGAATTCGGTCCGCGAGCGCGTGCGAGCCGGCCCCCGACGCGGGTCCCAGCCCCGCCGCCGCCAGGTGCTCCAGGTCTGGGCGTCCGCCTGCAAAACGGGGAGAAGCCCACGCCCACTTCCGCGAGCTGCTGGGGCGTTAAGTGAGTTAATTTAATAAACGTGGCACGCAGGAAGGGCAAATGTGGTTTCAGGGAAGCCTGTATTCACGGTAAAATGTCCCCTGGCGGAGCGCATGCCTTCCCTGGGCACCAAGGCGCTGGAACCCGCAGACCCCAAAGGTCTGGGCGCGGAGGGCAGGTCCTGCAGGTGGGCCCTTCAGTGTGAGGGGGGTGGGGGTGCCTCCCCGCATCGTTTCTGGTCCCTGTGCCCAGGCCTCCTGGCCACAGGGAAGCCAGTGCCATTTATTGGTGGTTGGTAAAGAAACGGCCAGGGCTGTTTTCTCTCCCAACAGGCACTTTGGGGCACCTTATTTTATTTTTTCATTTTAGAGAGGGTGGAGAGACGTCAACTTTTCAGTGTATGCGCCCCGACCAGGGATCGAACCCACAACCTTGCTGCATTGGGATGGTGCTCTCACCAGCTGAGCTACCCGGCCAGGGCCCGGGGCACCTTGAACAGGCGGTACCCGCCTCCCGGGCCCTCCGCACACAGGGCAGACTCGCGGGGCCCAGGGTGTGGGCCGCAGCCCCGGCTCCCTGGTCAGAGGCGCAACACATGGGTCAGAGGACATCGAAGAAGCGCTCAGTGGGTCTCCGATGGAGCCCCCCGGGGAAGCCCAGTGGGCGGGGAAGGAAACCCACAGCTCGGATGAGCGTCCACTCCAGTGACACCCAGGGGATGGATGTGCTGTCCCACGGGGGATGCCCCATGGCGGCCCCACGGTGGTCTCAGCTGCTGACCGATGACTGGGCAGCTTGCCCGGCCACGTGGGCCTTGCTCAGGGAGGTCAGGCGCCTTAAACCCCACGTCGTCTGCACCGGCACTGCCGTCCACTGGTTCCGCGATCCTGCGCGCCAAGGCTGGCAGCGTGACTGGGGAAGGTGGCCAGCGCCCCCCGGGACTCGGCACTTCCGCTGTGGCTGTTGGGGCCGCCTCCACCGGGGCATTGTGTGAGTGTGTGCACGGAACACAACATTTTCACACCTGGGCCCCTCCCAAAGGCCTGTCCCCCCCAGTCTTTTCCCCCAGACCCCCTACCCCGCCCTGAAGTGCCTGGTCAGCATTGTGGACAAAGGTCTCAGTGACTCCTTCCGAGTGGGTGGGTGCCACACTCCTGCTCCAAGCGAGCCACCAGGGGCCCCTCCCCACTGTCCCTCAGCCACTCTGAGAGGGGCCGCAATGCCATCTGTCCTTTTACAGCCAATACCAGTAGAGCAGCTGAACCTTCTTACCCGTCGGTCACTTTCTGGGGGACGCGCCGTAACACTGAACACACAGGTGGGGAGTGGGCGGGGCCCCCACGCTGCCTGCTCCGGGCGCAGGGCTGTGGGCGGGGTCTCCCGAGTCTCCTCCCGAGACGCACGCATAACACCTGGAAGGGTGTTGACGGAAGCCTGGCAGGCAGCGCCCCCGCCTGGAGTGAAAGCGAACGAGGACCGGGCGGTACCCGGTGCCTCAAAGGCCATGAAGGAGGGTGCACGAGGCCTGGTGGGGCGGGGAAAGCGGTGGGGGGATGGGGAACGCCTGTAATGGTGTCAACAACAACATACTTTAAAATACGGAAACAGAAAAACACAGTTTCTGCAGTATTCCTGACCAGATTCCTGTCTGCATTCAGTCAGCACACATCTGACAAGCCCAGCCTAGGGGCCGTTTCTAGAAAGCCACCATTGTCCTGGATGCATGAGAACATCAAGGTCACGAACCATGGGGTCCGAGGAGCCATCCTGAGTTCAGGGGGCTGGAGACAGAGGAGGAGGGGCTGGGTGGGGGGGATGGGTGGCTGGCAGGTGAAGGATCATAAAAACTACACGTAGTTGCATTAAGTTTCTTAGCAACAGAGGCATCGCTTCCTGATTGGACCTTGGAAGACCCCCGCTCAGGGAGTCAGGTCACTGGGGACATTCAGAGAGGCAGTGGAGCCCGATCACCCACCTTAGCTAAGTAGCCAGACATGCTGTGTGTGTGTGTTTAAAGGTTTTATTTATTTACTTTCAGAGAGAGGGAAGGGAGGGAGAAAGAGAGGGAGAGAAACATCAGTGTGTGGTCGCCTCTCTCACACCCCCTATGGGGGACCTGGTCTGCAACCCAGTCATGTACCCCAACTGGGAACCGAACTAACGACCCTTCGGTTCACAGGCCTGTGCTCAGCCCACCGAGCCACACCAGCTGGGGCCAGACATGTGGGCTTAACCTCGCCCCTGCCTGCGATGGCACCCACTGAGGGCAGCTCCACATCCCTGCCCCCAAACCTGGCAGCCGTCACCGGCATGGCGTAAAGGCCATGCACGTCACCCAGTCTGAGTCCAGCTCTGCTCTCTCGTTGGTGACCAAGAAGCCTCGCCCACCGTGTCTTGGATTCCTCATCTGTAACCTGGGCAACACCAAACCTCTGTGGCAGAAAAACCAGGGCTTCAAAGAGCGGTCCCAGCCCACCTGTCCAGCCTCTCGCTGCAGAGTGAGTGTCCCCCCCAGGTTCGTGGGTTGAACCCCAGGCTCCACTGCGATGGCATGAGGTGGGCTTCTAAGGAGGTGACCAGGGTTACCTGAGGTCAGGAGCACGGGAGCCATGTGATGGGAAGAGCGCCTTCACAGAGCCACCAGAGAGGTGACCAGAGAGTTGCCACAGGAGGACATGACGAGATGGCAGCCGTCGGAAGAGGGCTCCCACAGAACCCGACTGGACTCTCAGCCTCCGGAACTGTGGAAGACAGCGTCTGTTGTTGAAGCGCCCAGTCCGTGACCACGAGTACAGCCTTTTGTGCTGCCCCGGACACCTGTCTTTCCCTGTTCTGCCTGCAGGTGTGCGGGTGTGTCACTCATTTCCTCGACAACAGCCACAGAGCACTGACCACGTGTTGTGCCCACACCCACGCATATGTGTCTGCCAGGGGGCTGCTCAGCCTCCTGCCTCCCAACCCTCCTACCCTCTCCCGGCAGCTCAGCAAGTCCTACCAATTCTCCGTGCTCCAAGTTCTGGGGCACTTCGACTGCCTCACTGCAACGAAGTGTGTGTGCTTGTACACTGTGCACACACAGTAGCACAGTCTATACACACACTAAATAACACTGCACTATATACACACTGTATACACACGGTAACAAAGTGTGTGCACTTTACACTCAGTATACAAACACGGTAACAAAGTGTGTGCACTTTACACTCAGTATACAAACACTGTAACATTGTGCGCTTTACACACAGCATATAAACACTGTAACAAAGTGTGTGTGCTTTACACACAGCATATAAACACTGTAACAAAGTGTGTGTGCTTTACACACAGCATATAAACACTGTAACAAAGTGTGTGTGCTTTACACATAGCATATAAACACTGTAACAAAGTGTGTGTGCTTTACACACAGTATATAAACAGTGTAACGAAGTGCACATACTTTATACACAGTATATAATAAACAGTAATACAGTATGCACTCGGTACACTGTGTATACACACTGTAAGAAAATTCATGCACTTTGTGCACCATACGCAAACACGGTACAAAGTCTGCACCGAACACACTGTATGTAAACACTGTGCAAAGTGTAGACATTGCACAACTCTCTGCTGGCACTGGAGTCTCTCACGTGGGTCCTTCCCCCACTTGTTTACCCAGGGCTGTTCCATTCACTTTAGACTCCTCCCCCTTTGCCAAAGCCAGACCTCGGCTCACTGGGCGCCTGGTGAATAATGGACGCTCAAAGATCCATACTGACCAATGAGCCCGAGGAAGGAATGGACAAGCCCACAAATAATCAAGTCAGCGTCTCCAGGCAACAGGCAGGTCTTGGCTGGGAAAGGTCACTGGATCCCACAGCACCGTCCCTGAGACGGACTGACTCCCTGCCACGCCTGCAGGCAGACCACGAGCGGGTGCTGAGGAGGCGGCCTTCCTTCCTTTGCCTCTAGGCCCAAGTTCAACACTTAAAGAACCTCTGCACTTTCCTTTACTCCTTTCCCGTTATTATGAGAGTTTCCCAGAATATAAGAAGGTTGGCAGACTCCTACGTGGACATGCACGTAGCCGCTCTCTAGACTGTCTCCGCATCCCTCGGTCCGTCCCCCGATCCATCTCCCCGCCCAGGCGTTTCACAGTGAGCCCCGAGAGCTCGCGTCAGTCACCCCTGGGCACGCGGTGTGCGCACACCCCCGGGGGTCAGTAAAGGCTCAGCCCTCAGCGCGCCCATCAGTGAGCTCTGCCGAGGGGTTTGTCCGTGTACTGCGGCCTGAAAGCCCATCAGGACACGGAACGCCCCCGCCTCCCCAGAGGGCACTGATGGCGCCCCGCGCTCCCAGGCTGATTGCCTCCGGTATTTCCCACCACAGACCGGGTCGGCCGGGAAGGTCGCTGAACTGGAGCGCACAGCGTGTGGGTGGGGCCAGCCGCCCCAACTCCCCAGAGCATGCGCAGTTCGCTGTGTGGCTGGGTGTCCTCGCCTTCCGGGAGCCTCCCGTGATCTGTCTGCCCACTCTCCGGCACGGGGCCGCCTGTGACGAACACCATGACGGCCATCGCCATGCTCGCACACAGCTTCCCGTCTGGGGCACTTTCTGGTTTCTGCATCTTGCACAGCAGGGGGTGGTATGGAGCCAACGGTGGGAGTCCCGGCTGCAGGGCCGTACCTGACCACCTGCACAGGAACAGATCCGAGGACAGCCCTGCACTCATGTGAATAAAGGGATCAGGGGGGCGACTCGCGGCTCGTCACTCACTCCCCACTCGGGGCCCGCCGGCTCCTCAGTAGCCGTGGGCTGCACAGGAGGCCTGACTCCGGGAAGAGGTGGTCAAATCTCCCCACGGTCGGCTTCCCCTAGGCTGCCGGTTGACTCCAGGGGACACCTTCCCTGGCTCTTACTCGGGTGACACCTGTGTGCTGTCACACCTGGGCCCTGGGATACGGGGGTGTCCCCCTGGCCACACCTAGGTGTCCTGATGTGCTCCACAATGGGAGTCCTCAGAGAGAGCCCGCACAGACAGACCACCCACCAGCCTGGGTGCTGGGCCAGAGAGTGCTGAGGCGGGGCGGGGGCTACCCTTATCCAGGCCCAGCTCACCCGCCCGGGCCCTGGGAAAGGACCTGACAAAGGCACAGGCCCCACTGGCTGATTAGTGCCACTTAGAGGACTGTTGATGCAAATCTCCGCTCTGCCTGGTAAAGAACGGGGGCGGGGGGGAGGGTAGGGAAGAAGCACAGGGCCCTTGCTGCACCCCAGGCCCTGCTGTGCAGGTGCATCGGGCACCCTGGTGCCACCGGGCTTTGCCTGTGGGGCTGCAGCCTCAGCCCCAGGCCCTTCCCGTCCGGGCCGCTACTGTGTCCCCATGTCCTCGGGGGCTTCTCCCAGCAGCTGCCCCAGAGGAGCCGCCCCAGCCCTGGCCCCTGCGTCCCTGAAGCCCGTGTGAGGCTATGCGTCCACACCTCCTCCTACACCGGCAGCCCCATCTCCCTCCTGCCGGGGCTGCCTTTTCTGTGTCCACACTTGGCAAGTAGCAGGATCAGCCCTGGCCACCAAGGCCAGCTGGCAACTTCGACTGTTCCCTGCGATGCCTGACCTGGGCCCCCCGAGTGCACCCCAGGAGCCCTGACTGCCATTCTTGCAGGACATGGGGATGGGGCTGGTTAAGCAGCACCAAGGCTCTGGGGGGGGGGGCGTCTGTGGGGCCTGAATGAGTTACGCCACCCCGGTGCTGCCTGGGGCTTCCACGGAGGGGCTCGGTCACAGTGCATGGCTGGGCCTTTGTCCCTGGGGGACCAGACCTGCTTCCCTACCCCCAGCAGCCAACCGCTGCCCACTCCCCACCCCCACCCCGCCCCGCACCATGTGACCAGTCTCGTGACAGTGTTTGCTCAGAGTGTGGTCCCTGCCGCCCTGGAACTCACAGGCTGTTCTGCTCCCTTCTCCTTGCAGAGCAGCTGAGCGATTGCCTCACAGACTAGGACAAACAGGCGGGGGCGGCTGTGCAGCTCCGCCCAGGCCGCTGCCCCGATTTGAGCATTTTGGGCACGTGCAGTGCAGGGCTCTCACCAGACAGCCTCTGCCTTGGAGAGGGGCCTGTTCCCTGACCCGTGGGGACGGGCCAGGGCGGGCTGGAGACGCTGTGCGAGCACTGTGTTGACAATTCTAGATATTTCATCACACTGGCTCCAAAAATAGCCCCAGGGAAGTACAGACGACAGTGGGAATTCGCGGAAAAGTTGTTTTCCTGGAAGAGAAAGGGAAACAGCAGCGTGACCAGTCAGCAGGCGCCCCAGCCAGGACCGAGAGTCCCCAGGACGGTGGGAAAACAATCTCTCGCCCTCCTGCCCAGCACTCAGAAGAGTCCCCACCCACTCTCGCTGCCAGGGAGACCGAGCGGCGCTGGGATTATTCCCCTCCTTGGGGCACTTCATTTCTGGCCCCAGGGGAGGAAAGCTGGCAGGAGACTTTTCTAGTCACTCCGAGATCAGAGAGATGGCTGGCCTCCTCCCGAGCTCAGGTCTGGGGCAGTACCCGGCCAGTGGAGCCATTGCCCCTCCTCCAGCTCCGGGTGGGGCTGCTCCCAGGAAAGCCGTGAGTGACCGGAGGCTGGCTGCTTCCCTCCCCTGAGCCTCACTGTCCCCAGACACTGGTCCAACCTCCCGGGACTGTGTCCCCTCAGGCTGCTCTGGGGCCTGGAGGCTCCCGCAGTGCTGGGCCTCTCCCACCTGCAGTCTTGGCTGTGGCCCCGGCTGTGCCCAGGCCCACTCAGATCAATGCCCCCACCTCCTGCTTGCCCTCCCGAGTGACCGCAGGCAGACCCCAGGCGGCCCCAGGCCCACTCCCTGAGTCCCAGGCAGCATCTTTTCATTTGTTCACGTGTTGATGGGGGACTCAGTTGGAACAGTTTAGTTTAAGTGATAGCTAATAAGCTTAGTAATCGAAGCAGGTAAAAGCTTTGTTCCAGGAACAAGGTGGGACCCACCCTGGCTCCAGGACACGCCAGCAGCTCCGCCTTTGTTCTCAAGAGGACTGCAAGCAACTCCTGAGCCAGAGCACTCCAGGGGACATGCCCGCGCCCAGCACACGGGGGACAGAATGCTGCGGCTTTTATCTGATTAAACTCTCCCCAAATCCCAAACGCTTCCCCTCCACTCTTCTTCTCCTTATAAAAAGGGTCGGTTTGACGTGAATTTTAAGGTGATCCTTTAGGGTACAAACCTGTCACTTTCCAGATCGCTGGCATCTGAGTAAAGTGCCCTTTAAGGTTCAATGCCCCGTGTCTGCTGGTTGGGTCTGACAGTGGCAGGCAGCCCAAATGCCAGCTTTTCTGGTTTCATATTTAATTTAAAAATCTGAATAAAGACGAATGTTTTCTAACTCACTCATTTTACTTTGGTATTATTTTATAAAAATGTTAAATTTATTAGTTTCTTCTATGTAAAGTTTTTCCTCCCTGGCTTTTTTAAAGACCCAGTTCACTAATTCTGTGAAGAAAAGGGGCGACACACTAAACCCGGAAGGCGTGGGGAGGCCTGCTGGGCGGACTTACAAACTCAGACCTAAAGCAGCCACGAAGGATGGTTGGAAGTGAAAACTCCCTAACTTAAAGATGGTCCTTGCAGAGTGTCTGTGTTCTAGGCTACCGTCTTCCCTGACAAAGGTCAGTCTCACCCTAATCGAGCCTGTCTGCTGTCTTTTTGCATCTAAGATGGCATCTCTTTGGAAGTCAGGTGACGTGCCCCTTTCCGGAACCCTCCAGCACCACCAGCACACCATGCTGGGACTGCAAATCCCTCATCATTAGGGTCAGTCATCGTTGTGTTAATTGACGATTGTTATCAAGGCCCCCACCCGTGTAAAAGAAGTGTGTGTCTATCCAATCCCAGGTCCCCCCGTAACAGGCACAGCCAGGGGAGGGGGCAAATAGGAATTTGTGATGGGGTCCAGAACTCAGGGTATGCAGAAAATATTAAAAAACATGGTATGTCCTCACCCCTACCAGTCTGAGCTAGGGGATGGGACGCATGGAGCAGGGCCATTGAGAGTTGTTTTGCATAGCAACAGTTTTGCAGGTAACGGTCATTTAACATATCTATAACCTTTAACTGGTTTCATGGGTATGTTAAACAGCTGTGGCCACGCATTGAGCCAGGGGGAAGGGAGTGACTTCTACCCATGATGTAACTGGAAGGCAGCTCCCCCTGGTTACAGAGCCTGTGTGAGAGCTTGGAGGTGATTGGCTCCACACCACAGGGCCACGCCTGCCCGGACTTACTCCGGCAGCCCAGCGCTGCTGGAAAAACACGGGAATGCTGGCAGGTGTGGCCAATTGTGGGAGGAGTCAGAAGTGGTGCTGCAGAGGAAGATCGGTGCTGGGATTTAAACCCAGGCGCGGCAGCCATGTGGGGTCTATTCGGGACCATGAGGCTTGGGCAGAGAAAAACCACGGGCTTCTGTTTCTTTTTCTGAGATACGGTACCCAGACTGGGCAGAGGGGGAAGGAAGGACTGTGTGTTTGTGAGTGTTCTAAAGGACTTTGGAATCTCAATGAGGACATTAAGTCATTATTCTTAAGTTTGTATAACTCTTTAAATAAAGAATCCCTTTCCTTTTTGCCAATCTCTGGCACCGAGAGACGTCTTTCCCTGGTGGCAGGCAAGGCAAACCTAGTACGGCATGGGGGACCCCTGGACCACAACGGTGGGACCATTTGGTAATAGTGTACCGTTCACCACCCCCGGGTCTGTTCTGTAACACCCCTGCTTTGCTTTCTCCCCCTCCCTGACCTTTCACCAACAGATTTCACGTAACCCCCTCTGTCTCTTCTTTGGACTGTAATGTATAAAATAAGTTGCAAAACTGCCACATTTCTGGAACATTTTCTCAATCCTTTGAGGTTTTGCTTCCTGGCAATTATCAGTTTGGCTCAGATAAACTCCTAAATATTCTTATAGATTGGAACATTTCTTATGTTGACAATTTTACACGTTTTTTAAAAATGCATTTAAGAAAACTCGGGTCACTGAGTTTTCTCCTCTACTTCTCACTTTTCCTTGGACCCCCGCTCTGAGTGGGGGTCCTCAGCCTTCCCCTGGGCAGCTGGTGTCCCATCCGCTGTAACCTCCCCCGACCTGCTGCCCCCCAAAGGCAGGTTTCCAGTGGCCTCGGCCTTCTGCCGGGTCCTCAAAGGATGGAGGCTGCTGGGACCTGTCGGTGTAAGAATGTTCAAACCTGTGGAGAATTTTTTCTGAGTTTATTTGAGTCAAAGAGAGCAAGATCGAGATGAATGCTTCCGAGAATAACACCCTGCAGTTTTTTAAAATGTATTTTACGTTAAGGTGGGAAGGGAGACGGCAGGAAGGGGGGAGGAAGCAGGTAGAAGGCGTCACAGGTGAGTCAGGATGACATGCTCTGTCTGCTTTGGGAGGAGGGGCCGGGAGGGCAGTTCTGGGTGTGCACACCCAGACCCACCGAGGTGACAGACAGGGCGGGCTGAACGCCTTTCGGGACGGAAGCTACATGCTGGGGCGAGACTGCCCCGCTAGGAAGTTACAATCAGGTTGTCCCGTGAGCTGACTCTCCCTAGAGCCCCTTCTTTGTCCATGGACTTGTGGGGGTTCCGCCTGGGGAGGGAAAACCAGGTGGCAAAAGCAATCATTTCCACTTAAACATTTCTGGGCAATCGCCTGTAGAGACTCGGAGGACTTGTAAACTTCACGTTTGGGGGAGCCTAGCAGGTCACAGTGGGAAGGAACACCCAGAAATCAATCACTGTCTCTGTATCAGCACTAACCAGCCCAACGAAACAGGACGCTGACGCTGACTACTATAACATTAAAATAGGAACATGGAGGGTCACGTCTGCCAATGTTTCAACTACAGAAACATTCTGCTGAGAGAAATCAGAAAACACCTGGCCCACGGAGAGGCCCCCTGTGCGCCTGGGCTGGAAGGCTGGGTGTTGGCAGCATCCCCAGTAAAGGGGTCTGAGGGGCTGGGGTGGGCCACTGTGGGGACTTGCCACCCATGTGCTGTGGGGCACCTGCTTTCTGCACATTCCCTGCTGTCCCCACCTGCTGTGCCGGGTGGTGACCAGTGCACACTGGTGGAATGAGAATGAGAACCGTGGGTCCAGCAGAAGGGAAGGCTGGCACTGTGGCATCCAGAAACTAAGTGCGTGTCCCTGTCAGGACGGGAAACAAGGACTCAAGGGAAGGACAGGGGGACAGTTTCGTCAGAGCCCCTGGGGCAGGGGCCCCATGGCCCCGGCTGGGTTCTGCAGACCCAAAGGCAGGCAGGCAGGCGACAGGGGTTCCAGGTGCGCCCTGAGGGAGGCGGGGCCCGCAGAGCCTGGGCCGAGGAACCTCGAGCGGGGTCAGGGCGCGCTCTCTGGCCCTCCCCGGTGGGCCCTGAGCGGGAAGCAGGGACGGCCCGGGGAAGCTGTCAGGTACTGATGGAGCCCTGGCCATCCGGGGCTGATGGTCCCGGGGGTTGGTGGGGCTTCCGGTTGCTGGAGACACTGGTCTGACTCCTGCGAGTCTGACTTGCAGCTGGCTGCCTCCTGGCCGTCCCTGCAGGTGCGGGGCTGGCCTCCCGGACGGGTGGCCGCGGGCTGTGTCGCAGTTGTGGTCACAGATGGCCTGGCCTGCTCGGGTTCTTTGTAGGCCGCCAGCAAACCCCGGGGGTCCTTTCCTCCACTGCCTACCGCATTTGAGGGGGAACAGCAAGCCCTCGGGCAACAGGACAGATGGCCCTGTGGACTTCAGAGTCCTCTCCACCGAGCTCACCTGTCCCGCAGGATACGCCCGCCGCTGCTCTGCTGGCAAGGCGCCCCGGCCGGTTTGACCAGCAAACTCCTTTTCCCACTACCAGTGCCCACCCACAGAGGCTTAGGCCCCGCCCCTCGCCCCAGGACACTGCCCCACCGCGCGCTTGCGTACGCCAGTCCTGCTTGTCAGAGCCCGCCCCGTGCACTCGCGTCCCGCTTCTAACAGCGCAACTGCGCACGCGCGCTCCGAGCCTCCGCCGACGCCTCAGACCCACCCCGCGCACGCGCTGCACGCGCCGCACGCGCCCCACGCCCCCGCGCACGCCCAGGCGTCCCCCCCCTCCCCACCGCCGGCCAATAGGCGACGTCGTGTAGCCTTCGCTTATCTGCCCTGCGTCCGCCGGCGCGCGTCAGTCAGTCGGGGCCCTGGGCTGACGTGGTTGGACCTGCTGTGCCCTGTGCCAGTGCCCCGGCTCCCGCTCGTTCTCTTCGGAGCGCCCGGCACTTAGCAACCCCGGGCCAGAGCCTAGCTGGGCCCGCCGGCCGCAGCGCCCTCCCTCCGGCGCCATGTCGCAGAGCGGGACCCCCGGAATGCAGGAGGAGAGCCTGCACGGTGAGCCGCCGGGGCTGCAGAGGCCGCGGGGAGGACCCCGGGGGAAAGGCAGAGCCGACGGAGGAGGCCAGGCCCCGTCGAGGTGCGGAGCCCAGGCTGCGCCTGCGCGGCCGGCCCGGGGCCTCTCGGTGCCGGGGGCCCGGGGCCGGGCGTCGCTTCCCGGCGGGGTCTGGCCGCCGACCGGCCCTCCCGCTTCCACCCGCCGCCCAAGCCCGAGCTCTGCGGTTCAGGGGCACTGGCGCGTTTCTTCAAGGCCGTGTTTACGCTCGCGCCTCCGCAGTTAGGAGCAGCGTGGGTGGTACGCGCAAAAGCCGAGCGTTGGGCTGAATCTCACGGGCCCTAAGTGTGAGCGGGCAGCAGTTCTGTTCGTAGCGGCGGCCAGGGCTCGGGGCGGAGGAAAGGAGCAGCCGGGCGCCCGGCCACGGACTGCTCCTCTCAGTGTGAGAGGTGGACAGCGTTAAAGAAATGGCCCGGGCCTGTGAACAGGCCTCCTCAAGTTCACGCCCCACTTGCCCTAGAGGGTCGCCCCACAGCCAAGCTCCGAACCGACCTGTGGGTTCAGTGCAAGCGGGAGGACCGGTCCCGGCCGCTCCGCACCGCAGCTCTCGCCCCGCGCCTGCGGGTTGGCCGGGTCGGGGTCCCGCGGGCCCATTGGGCTTGTGGAGGCCCGGGGGTGGCGGGAGGGCCCGGTGGACGCCCACCTCGTTTCTGCAGCAAGAGTTCGCTAAGTGAGATGAGCAGCGACGTGGCCCGGGAGGGCCGTTCAAACTTCCAGGGCGGGCTTTTAAATCTCAGCAAAGGCAGTGAATGAGTGGGCTTCAGCGGTCCGGCGCGCGGTCAGCAGGCGTCTAACTACAGCCGCTCTTCCTAAACCCGGCAGTCTCCCCCCGTTGTGAAGTTGACTAATGATCTTGTTTGAATTGGGTTAAAGGGTTAATCTTTGCTGTCTTTTTCTCACAAAAGAGCCAAGGGACGTTTATAAACTCTGCGCCTGCAAGCCACCCCCTTTTCCAGTGCTCCAGCTGCTTAACTGCACTGTTACCCTAGTTCGGAGGAGTCTGGAAGGTTCCGTGTGCTCCCGAGGGGCTCGGGGCTCCCTCCCTCCCGACCCCGAACTGCTGAGTCACTAGCAGTGCGAAATCCCGCACGGAAAGACCAGCCTTTGGGTCTGGCTCCTTCCACAGCAGAGCGTGGAAGCGGACGCGGCACCCCTCGTGCGGACGTGCGCCTGAGCACTCGCCGCTCAGGGCTGGGCGGAGCCGGCCCCCGACAGCTGCCTGGGAAACGTGAGCCCTCGCCTGGCCGCCGCGTGGTTACCTCTTGTTTACATCTGGCCCAAAGGCACAGACAGCGGCCCCCTCCTACCCCTACTTTGTTGGCTGGGCTCCCACGCCCCTGCCCCTAACTCTGGCGAAAGCTGCTGACTGGCCAGGCTCTCTGCAGGCCCTTCTCTCCGTAGCGGGATGGGGTGTCCTGCTGGGGCGGGGAGGCACCCGGCCTCCTTTCCAGGCGGGGACCGCCTTCCAGGCAGGGACGTGCAGGGGGCTCTATTTTCTGGGGTTGTCGTGGGAGAGACTGGAGCTGCTGGGTACCTGAACCTCCTGGGGAGGCGAGCTGGCCTCGGTCTCCTAGGCGTGGAGGAGGAGCAGGTGTGGGGAAGGCAGCGGTGGGGTGCAACGGGCTTGGTGGACAACACCTGTGTCTTCCCCAGGCCTGATTCTGCCACTTTGTTTGGTGGGTTATCTGCGACTCCGAGGACCTTTTCTAGGTTGTGGAGCAGCCGTAGTCCCCTCTTTCTTGCCCGGTGTAAGCACGTTCACAGCATGCCTGCTGCCATTTCCAGGAAGTGGTTTCCTACCCAGGTGTTGCAGGTTAATAATAAAGCTCCGGTCCTTTATTAACTCTCTCCTCCACACACAGATTTTGGACCCAAGCTTTTGCTGCAGGGAGTCCAGAGTGTGATCTTTTTCTTTCCCAAGGATGCTTAGAACTGTCTGTGCGAACATGATTCTGAAGCACGTGTACTTGTCTCCATGGAGTTTTGGGTTGCTCCTTGAGGTGGCCTACAGCACACGTATTCCTGAAGGTGATGTGACGTCCGTTACATTTCTCTTACACGGTTGTGTTCAGTGCTGTGTTTGGTGGTCTTGGCAGTTGCAGGGCAGAGCTCTAAGCCCCCCGGGGTTTCTTGGATGTGAGGGGTGTTTGCCGTTGTTGATGAGCCCAGGACCCTGCGCAGGTTGGAAGAGGGCGGAAGCAGAGTTCTACCTCCTGCCAGTGAAGGTTGGACTGTGAACCCTTGGCATCACAGGGCATTGCCCAGGGGACAGCCCTGTGCCTCCCTGCACAGGCAGGTCTGAGCGGTGTTGTCTCTGGTAAGTGGGGGAACATGAGTAGTTCCGGTGAGTGAGGGAGGTGTCACAGGGACCTTGAATTTGCCATCTGGCAGACAGAAGTGTGGGGGGCTTGGAGACCCCGTTTGTGCCTGATGCTGGCAGCCCCGTGGGACTGACCCCTCTACGTCGTGGGGCCTGATGCCAGCTCCAGGCAGTGGTGGGACAGCCAGGTGGGGCTGGAGAATCAGTGATTGGTGTGTGGGAGCCCTCACTCGTGTCAGAAGTGGTACCGAGAAGACACCACACACCTCAGACTCCGTCTGCGTCATGCACCCTACGTGACCCAGGCCGCACTTCAGCTGGTGCCGGGAAACAGAGCCAGGCCCAGAGTCTGAGTGACTGACTGAGCCTGGAAAAGTGGAACTGTGCCCAGTGCGGAGCCCGTGTGCTGCTCTGTGCCACGGGGCCAGAGCTGGCGTGCTGGTTGGTTGAGTGTGACCTTGGTCTTAGGGAAGGGAGGAGTGCTGGTGGGGGGAAGACCCGAGGCCCAGGTTTTCACGATGCCGTGGGGGGAGGGCATCAGAGGCCTTGGAAGACGGTCAGCAGCCTGGCGAGGGAGGACAGAGGAGCCGCCTCTGGCCTGGTGCCCTGGGGCAGTCTCTGAAGTCACTGCAGCTTCCACTCCCAGGCAGAGCTTGAGTGGGCTGTGCGGACAGTAGGCACTGGGAGAGGCTGGCGAGGAAGTGGTGTGTGAGCTGGATGCCTGCGTGGTGGTCTCAGCAGAGCGAACGGGAGGTGGGTGCGCAGCTCCTGAGCCTGGTTTGCTGTTTTCTGATGGGCATGATGGAGGCTGTGGGGTTGGGACAGTGCCCCCCAGCGAGTGGGAAGCGGAGCAGCGGGTCCTGCGCCTGCACCACGGTGCGCACATGGTGCGGCTCCTGGCCTCTGCTCTGCCCCTGTCCCTGCTGCCCCCGTCCTCCGCGCGCGTGCGCCGTCACGAGGACAGGTGTGCTGGGGACCCACGGTCCAGGGCCAGGCCTGGGGCAATGCCAGCGGGATAGCTTCCAGGAAGCAGCCCCCAGCCCTGGGAGACGCAGAGGCCGCTGTCCAGTGAGCAGAAGGATGGGCCTAGGTGGGGGTCAGGTCGCATGTGCAGATTACATCCGGCTCACTGCACCCAGATGTGTGGAGTCGGTTGTAACCGAAGAGGGTCGGTGTTTGGAACGGCTCATTAAAAAGGTGCGGTCCAATGGCCAGTGGCCACAAAAACATGTTTAACCTCGTTACAAACTGGAGAGATGCAAATTAACCCCTCCTCCACAGCCAAGTGTAAAAACCAATGAGGCTGCCCATGTGTGAAGTGGCCGCTGTTTGTGCTGGTGTTTGACCCACACACGGAGAGTGTGCGACCCTGGGAGCCCTGAACACTCATCACCACCTCCCAACCCGGGGGCCCACCTGTGCGTGTCTGCGGCAGGGGCCCCTCGATGTTTATGGAAGCGCTCCTGAGAGCTGCCCACCCTGGACGCAAGCCAGGCGGGTCAGAGTGGGCAGTCGATGGCGTGGCTGTGCAGCAGGGTTCTGGATGCGCAGCCATGTGGATGCCCCCACACCCACTTGGTGGTCCGTCCCGTGCAAACCCCGGAGTGGCCTTTGGGTCCTGGCCCCTCCCCCCATCTGCCCTCTCGCCTGCAGTGTCTTCACTGCTGCCGAGTGGGCCCTCCTGGCAGCCGGCGCTGTCGGGGCCCTTTGCTTGCCCGCCTCCCATGGACGTGCAGTCGTCTCCACCTTCCAGCGCACTCCCTGTTGTCGGTGTCCTGCCTGCCCCCAACCTGTACAGGAACAACCGACAGCCCCTCCAGGCTGCACCTCCTGGCCCCCGGTCCACTGAGGCCGCCCTGGTGTGCAGCTGGCTCTGCTGGGGCTGGAGCGGGCCTCCGGGTCCTCGAACACTGGGCTGTGAGAGGCGGGGCCTCCACCGGAGCATTTGTGGTTGGGCTGGGAGCTGCTTGTGTTACATTTTGATGAGCAGGTGACCTGGTGGCAGTGAGACATCAGTTCTCAGATCTGAAATCTGGATGGAATCAGCTCGTTTGGGATTTTAGTTGAAGCCGAGTTGCTCCCGGCCCAGACTCGGGACTTGGGGGTGGCCTGTGCTGCTTCATTGGGGTTGGTCAGAAGTCATCTCTGCTGTGGCTGCAGTCTGCCTCTGGCTTCCGATGTGACTGAGCACAGAGCCGCAGCCGGGAGGGGCAGTAGGCCGACCAGAGGTGGCTTAAGTCTTCACAATTTCTAAAATCTCTTAACCTTCTGACGGCTTTTATCCTTCTAAAAGTTGAGTGCGGAAAAAAGCACCCAGGTCGCTCTGACTGGTGCGGCTCAAAGGGCTGGGCGTTGTCCCACGAGGCAAGAGGTCTCTGGGTCGATTCCCCGTCAGGCCCAGGCCTGGGTTGCGGGTTCAGTCCCTGGTCCGGGCACATGTGAGAGGCAGCCGACGGATGTTGTCGGTCCGCGCCTGTCTCTCCACCTCAGTACAGTCTGGACGCACTCGGGCCGCCCGCACTCTGCTGGCTGCACACAGGTCCTGGTCCGGGGCTGCCTGCTCCTGGGGGGTGAGGCGAGACCAGTCACCGCCACTGCAAGAGCCAGGGGCGGGTGTCGTGCGTGTCCCCAGCCCCTCAGAAATGGAGGGGCCGCCGTCTGCCAGGGCTGGACAGCAGAGCGAGCGGGAACCCGAGCAGCACCCCCGCTCTCCCCTCAGGCTCCTGGGTGGAGCTGCACTTCAGCAGCAACGGGAGTGGGGGCAGCGTGCCCGCCTCGGCCTCACTGTACAACGGAGACATGGAGAAGATCCTGCTGGACGCCCAGCACGAGTCTGGACGGAGCAGCTCCAAGAGCTCCCACTGCGACAGGTGGGTGCCGACGCCGCAGTGCACAGGCTCACCGTGGGGGCCGCCACTGTCCTGGGCCCCAACCCCAGTCCCTGCCCTGGTGCCTTGAGTGGCTGTGTCGTGAGCTGCCGTCCTCGGCATGGCCAAGTCCGGAGTGAAGGTCAGGGTTCTCCAGGGCCGTGGAGCAGACTGCAGAGCCAGTCAGAGACGAAGCCTGCTGTCCCCCCAGGACTGGCTGGTTGATGCCTTCGAGCTGAGCTGCAAAGGGCGGGAGATGGGCTGGGCCCTAGCCTGGGGCGGGGGGAGGCCCCTGCCTGTGGGGCTTCGTGCTCCTGTCGGAGAGAGTTGACATGTCCCGCTCTCGCTCCCCGCCTCCTAGCCCGCCTCGCTCTCAGACTCCACAAGACACGAACCGCGTGTCGGAGACAGACAGCCACAGCACTGGGGAGAAGAACAGCTCCCAGGTAGGGCGGCCTGTCTGCAGGGCCAGCGGTGGGGGGCCATCTGGCTCTGAAGGGGCGGCCTTTTTGGGGGGACATGTGGGCTGACGCTGAGCAGATGGGGTGTGGGCTTAGGTTGGACCGGGGCTGGCCCCACGTGCCTTAGGCCTGGAGAGGATGGGAAGGGTGGCTGGGGGTTATCAGTGGGTGGTCGCTGTCCTCTTGGCCATAGGTCAGGCCTCTAGTGGGTTGGGTTTTGATGTGTGAGTGGGCATTCTCTGCAGGCCACTCGGAGCCCCTCTGCCCTGAGGTCGAACTCTGGACGGGCCTTTCTCTGTGGGTGTCACAGCTGCTTCCAGAAATTGCCCTTGGGCGGCCCACACTGGTGTTGGGTGGTTCAGAGTTAGGAGCTGACAGGGCCGGCATTTTAGCGCAGGTCCCTGCTCTAACACATTGGGCACTAAGCTTTGCTGTGAGACCAAGTGCAGGGTGACAGCCTTTGACAGCCCTCCTGGGCTCGCGTCTGGTGGCAGAAGCCAGCACCCTGTGCACCCGCTGTGGCCGGTGCCGAGTATAGGAAGTGTCCCCGGGTCCTCCTCCTGGCCAGCACTCGGTCCTTCCCCCTCAGGCTGGTCTCCCTTGGAAGGATGGAGGAGCCCTTGCACCCCCAGGCTCTGGACACGGAAGGCGTCTGGGCCCACGCCCTGCTGCCGGGTGCTTTGGCACTGTGTTCTGGGGCGTTTCTAAAATGTTACCCATTTCTCCCCCCAGAGTTTAAAAAGGAGTGTTATTGGGGGTATAGAATTTTTAAATGCAAAATCCCCTACAGTCCTACTTTTAAAGCCCCCTTTCGTGAGTGTGGTGTTAGGTAACTTCTGAATGGAGCTGCTTTGGCTGCACTGCGCACTCCGAGGCTCTGGGACTGCGCTGCCGCCCGGCCGAGCTTCCGTCTTGTCTGCTGCAGCCAGCGCCGCGGCATCTTCGTGGACGTCTGTGTCCACAAGCCGAGCCCCTCCCCGGGGGCAGTGTTCGCCAGGTCTCACAGTTGGGACTTGACCCAGAGGGTCTGTCTGTCTGGTCCACCTGCCTGGCTCTGAAGACTGGCCGTGGCCTCTGGCTCTGAGCTCCGCCTCTGGCCCGATGCCGGGTGGGAGGCGGTGCTCCTGGTGTGGGCACGAGGGTCGCCTGCTTTGTAACCGTCCCCTTCCCTTAGTCTGAGGAAGATTACATTGAGAGAAGGCGGGAAGTGGAAAGCATCCTGAAGAAGAACTCGGACTGGATATGGGACTGGTCCAGTCGGCCGGAGAACATCCCCCCCAAGTGAGTCTGTCTTGAGCGCCGTGGGGGCTCTGGGGCGCCGTGCGGGCCGGTGCTCACGGCTCCTCCCTCCGCAGGGAGTTCCTGTTCCGGCACCCGAAGCGCACGGCTACACTCAGCATGAGGAACACGAGCGTCATGAAGAAGGGGGGCGTCTTCTCGGCCGAGTTCCTCAAAGTCTTCTTGCCATCCCTGCTGCTCTCGCACCTGCTGGCCATCGGGCTGGGGTAAGTCACCCCGGGTGGCCCGCCCGGACAGTCCCAGGTCTCAGTGACTTGGTCTGAAACACCTCACTGAAATCACAGGTCGTGAGTCACAGCTTATGCAATGGCGTGTGAGCCCATGCTAACGTGACCACTGTCCAGGTCAGTGAACAGACACGGCCGTGACCCTGCGGCCCAGCCCGGCACAGGCACTGCCAGTCGTGGCGAGGGCACTCGGGGGGGACAGGCGTGCTCTCCCCGTGCTCCGCACAGGTGCAGGCAGGTTCCTCTCCTTGGTGCTTACGCCGTCACCATGCTGCCTGCAGGTCCCTCAGCAGGGAAAGACACCGAGGCCCCTCACGGTGACGAGGCGGGGAGCACTGAGTGTAGAAGTGAGCCCTGAGGGCCTCTGGCCCAGACAGCGCCGTGGCGCCCAGGCCCGAGTCTGGGAAGCCGGGGGCTGCTCTCCAGCTCACCCCAGGGCTGTCGTGGGGCACGAGGGGGTGGCCTCGCTCCTCCTCACTGGGCGACGGTGTTCTGTGGCAGTGGCTTGCTGGGCAGACTGGGTACGTGGGAAGGCTTCGGATTCTGGATGGTGCCGCAGGGCGGGAGGTGAGAGTGGGTTGCTTTCCCTGACCTCTGACCCGAGACCACGGCTCTAACCGCAGAGGAACAGTTCCCCGGGGGGCTCCTCGATGTCAGCGTCCAAACTGACTGTGGCCCGGGCTCTTTGGGGCCACCTCACCCAAGGTGTTCACAGTGCGTTCTGGGTCTTCCTCAGAACCAGCTGCTGGGACAGCGGGTGGCTGTCTGGCAGGCTGCTGTGGCAGCGACTCGACAGCAGCAGGGTGCTGGGTCCCCTCACTGAGGGAACGCCAGGCTGGGGCGTCTCCTCCTGGGCGGGGAACCACGTGTGGGGCGCACACAGTGGGAAGAGGACCCCGGGTGGAAACGGTGCACCTGCCTGGGCCGCGGAGTCCGGGCCCCGCTCACCGCCTGTTGCTTTCTCGCTCAGGATCTACATTGGGCGGCGGCTGACCACCTCCACCGGCACCTTCTGACGCGGAGCTAGAAACGGCGCTTCTCACGGGGAGCGGGGCCCTGGGGGCCAGGCCGGCGGAGGCGCCGCCCTGGTCCTGGGGGTTTGGCCGCCCTGTGGGTCTGCTCTGTGAATGCCGAGTGCCTGGTGTCGTGAGGGGAGGGCGGCGCTGCGGACCCGCCCCCCGTGCCTGCGGGAGCGGTCAGCGAGCATGTCGCGCTGACCCTGCTGAAGTGACCGGGTGGCAGTGTTCTTCGATGTTATAAATAGCCGAGCGTAGATGATTCCACCATGCTAGTCAGGACGTACGTAGTGTTGTAGTAAAATGACCCGTGACCTTAACCAGTTACGATTCGCCCTGCTCTGAAAGACGAGTACTGTTGTGACTTCAATGACTCCAGAAAGGGTTCATCCCAAACGAACAGGGCCTGTGTCCACGCCGCCGTAGGAGACCCTGGGTGTGGCTGTGTGGGGTCCGGGGCCCACGGCAGGCTCTGTGTGGCACAGACGCTGGCCTGTGTGCTGGGCAGGGTGGTGGCTGTTAGTGACCACACGGGGACGTGCCTGGACACCTGCTGAGTACCTTCCTCGTTTCCACGTTAGGGGCTGGGTTGAGGCTTTTGTGTTCGTGTCTGCGTGCTGAGAGTCGGTTCCCTTCTAAGCATCTGTGTCTACTTTACAAGACTGGAAATACAAAAAATAAATCTTTGCCAAACCCTTCAGATCACAGTGTCTGCGTACAGTCACACGGGTTAAGCAGCAGAAAAGGTTTCTGACTAAACCGGCCTCTTCCCGGACGGAGCCCCGTGTTTTCTGCCTGTGGCTCTTGGACAGCCGCCCCCTCCCGTGGGCTGTGGACAGCTCACACGCTGTCGTGCGTGCTCCGCTTTTCCACTTTAAACACAGTTATGTCGACGCAAATGCAAATTTCCATTCTTAGAAGTCAGTCTTTGTTTACGTTGAAATAATAGCCTTCACAGGAGCTGGTCAGACAGGGCTCCCGTTGGGGGGTGGCTGGCTCAGTGGCATCTAAGAGTCTGAGGTCACACTTTACCAAGCGCGTCCAGTGTCCTGACCTTGGTGGCATCCTCGGCACATCGGTGTCCTCAGAAGCAGTACCCCTCAGAGAGCTAGCGAGTCCCTGTTCGGGTGAGCCCTTGTCTCTGGAGTGGGCGGATCATCACCTGCATTTTTGCCCCCCTCTCGGTGGGACACCAGTGTGGTAACCGAGCTCGTGCAGATGGACCTCTGTGCTGTGGGTACGAGTGCACAGCACATAGTGGTGAGCGGAGCCCAGATGGTTCTTGGTTCGCGGGGAAGATGCGGCTGCTGCCGTGAGGTGCAGTCTCCTGACCCACACGTGTGCTCCCCCCGGCTGAGTGCGGGCTGCCTGTGACACTGGTTTCCGAGAGAGAGAGGCCCCGGGGACAGCACCTGGAGGGGGCCTGGGCAGAACCTTAGTGAACGACACCTACACGTTCCTTGTGTCTGGGAGCCCACGTGAAAGAATGTGCCCTGAACACAGACCTTCGAACTTGGAAGTGTGATAGTGTGGGCACAGCAGGCGGGCCGTGCAAACCGACGCCCCGCACCCGGTGCAGGGTGGGGGTGGTGATCCCCAGCTAAGGGCAAGTCTGGGGGACGGGCAGTGTTAAAAGGCCCAGCCATGGGTTGCAGCCACCCCCAACCGAGGCGCCAAGGTGGACTCCAGGGGGATGGCCTGCCCAGGATGGGGGCCCTTGGGTGCTGGGTGAGCTGCCCTAGTGGCCACCACTGGGACGGAGGGGAGAAGCCTGCTGAGGCCAAGTGCACGCTGGTGAGCGGAGCAGCCGAGAAGGGAACACGTGGTGCTGCTGTGGGACATGCACGCATCTGCACGTGTGTGCAAAGATGAACACGAAACATGCCAGAAACCAGAGTGGCTCCCGGAAAAGCAGGTGGGGATGGCGCAGTGATTCATGGGAAGGCTGGAGGGGAACTGGACCGTCTGCGTCACTGGCTCTCAGAATTGTAGTGACGCTTCACTTACTGCCAGTCCAACAGCAGCCAGGGAGCCTGGCCTACGTGAGAACGAAGCCACGCGGAAGGGGTGGCGATGGCAGGGCGGATGTGAGCACCGGCATGTAGCTACTAACCTGATTTTCAGGCAGGGACGGTCAGACCCACGAGTGTGCCCCAAGCCACCGCTGCAGCTGGAGGCCTGCACGGGGTCAGGGGAGGTGCGTCGGCCCAGGGATCTCAGGGCACTGGGGCACACGCAGAAGTTGGTCACATGGACTCCCTCGTTGCCCAGAAGCAGGGCCGAGGGCTGACACTTGAACAGCCGCAGTGAGCTGACCGACAGCCGACCCTGATCCTGGTCCCTGGGACCGTTCTCCCACACCCGAGAGCTGCAGGGTGGTCATGAGGCCGTGCCCAACAGACCCAGACTGGGGAGGGCCCACAAATGAGCTGACCAGGGCTGCAGGAGGGCAGCTGCCAGGGGGCGGCCCTGAGGGTGTGCAAGGAGCTCAGTCTGTGTCTTTGGGGAGCTCAGGTCTAGGTGCAGGGCCTGTTGGAAACACTGGGGTTTGAGGACGTCAGGAGGAGCATGGCCACCCCCGAGACAAGGTATGCAGAACCGGGGACTCTGTCACCACCAGAGAGAGCCCCACAGCCAGGTAGGGAATGAAGTGTGGACCTGTCCCACGGGCACTTACCAGAGCCAGTGACTGAGGGAGACCCAGGCTGCATGGTGACCCCTGGGCAGTGTGGGGCTGTGAGTAGGTAGAGCTTTCGGAAGCAAGCCTCGCATTCCGGGGGCCGGCACCTGGGTCATTCCAAGGTGGGTGAGACCCTGGGGGCAGCGCAGGAGGGAAAGTCAGAGTGGGCTGGAGTCTCAGCCTCAGATAACATCAAAAAACCAAACATGGAGAGCCAAGTGCAGGTTCCTCTGCGCTGTGAGCCAGCTAGCCAACTGTCCAGCCTCCTGCCCCATGTGGCTGGCACCGTACGGGACACTGAAGTCAGAAACACTGGGTGCAGCCCACCTCAAGTGGCACCCTGTGCAAAGCGGGAGCTGCCAGACACGAGGTCTGGTCGGTAAAGCAGGCTCTGCAGTCCGGTCCTCCTCCCTCCACCGCGGGACAGCACAGCTCCTGAGAGGTCAGGGTCAGGCCACACACTCCCCTGCTCCCTCAGTCTGAGCCCACCACCAGTGGCTGTGCTGTGGCGTGCCTGCCTGTCACCCACAGGGTGGGACTTGGGCCAGCACCTAGCAGGAGGGCTCAGGCAGTGATCTTCAACGTGCATAGCACCTATGTAGGGGCAGTGGCCTCCTTTCCCTTAGATTGTCCAACTGAAAAAGCACCACTGCCAGCACCATGCTAGTTCTCTGGTGGGAGTCAATCAAAATTATACTTTGTCATATCACCAAAAAGCGTATTTTTTGGTGTGCAGTAGAATTTTAGTAATTTGTGTGGCACAAGATGACAAAGTGGAGAATCGCGGTTTGAGGGACCAAGGGCAGGAGGCAGACACCCTGGCAGCTGGCACGGGGGCCTGTAAAACACCGGCCTGAAGGGCTGAAGCTCAGCCTGGGGCCCCGACCACAGCAGCCCCGGGAGGACGCCCGTCCGTCTGACCCAGATGCTGCCGGCACAGCACCTGCCGGACAGTCCGCCAGGTCCACACCCTCAGGGCTCCCGGTGCAGCCGGCGTCCTGCGTGGCCAGGTGTGCCCAGGCTCTCCTCGGTGCGTTCCCACTCAGAACCCCCATCGGGCCTCCCTGGGGAGGCCGGCACTGCTGGTTGGCGGACCCAGACCATGACCGAGCTGAGGTGCTGACCCTGACGCCCTTGTCAGCCCCTTAATCAAGGACGTGCAGACAGACCCTCCTAAAACAGGAGCCGGCGAGAGTCCTGCTCAGCCTGCCAGGAGCAGACAGAGCACACCGAGTGGGCCGTGGCCTAGCACGGCTCCCGGTCGGGAAGAGCTCGGCTGCTTGGCCTGATGCAGGAGGCAGCCGCCACTCGGTGGTGCCGCACTGTCGGCCCGCCATTGTCGGTGACTTGTGGACACTCTGAAGCAGGGGTGTCCAATGCTCTGTCACTGGGGGCCACATCAGCCTCATGGTTGTCTTCAAAGGTCTGAAGCAATTTTATGACTGTCTAAATGTAACTACTCCTTAACTGTTAAGGAGTTCAAATGACATTCGGCCCTTTGAAGACAGCGACGAGGCTGATGTTAACCCCGGAGAAAGTGCATCTGACACCCCCGCCCTGAAGTCAGACTGTGAGCCTGGTCCCGCACTGGCTCCCAGCAGCCACCTTTTCTCTTACAAGATGCGTGTATGAATCCACGCGCGAACCACGCTTCTTCACCAAATCTAGTCCCTTGGCCTGGGGAACTTTCGCACTTCAAGTAAAATGGAGCACAGGACCCTCAGCAAGGAAAAAGTCCACAGAACAACGTGCGGGAACAGATGAAACGCCTCTAACTTTACATAAGGGAAAAGGAACATTCTAGAAAACAACAACACAGCCCTGGCTGGTGTGGCTCAGTGGATTGAGGGCCGGCCCCCCAGTAGGGGGCACTCAAGAGGCAACCGATCAACGATGTTTCTCTTGCTCATTGATGTTTCTCTCCTTTCCTCTCTTCAAATAAATAAAAATCTTTAAAATAAAGGATACAAACAAGAAATAAATTCAAGCCTGAAAACTGCAGGATTTTCCCGGATGGTAAGAGAAAAAGGCTGAACTGGAACCAAGCAGGACAGGAAACTCGAGGCCTCCCCAGTGAGTCCCTCTCACGGAGCCCGCTGCCAGGGCCCGTCTGGCCCCGGCGGGGCTGCCCTGGCCTGCAGCTGCCTCCCGCCCAGGGACACGCGTGCAGCCCTTACCTGCTGCTCGTCCCATCCGTGTTGCAGAAGGCTGCTTTTTGTCTTGGTGCGAAACACATTTCAAAGGACAGATGAAAAAGTGGTCGGAACACACTGCAAATCATCACACATTAGAACTTTATTAAACCCTCTGGTCTGAACAGTGGAAATACGACAGCCCTACCTCACCAGAACCGCTCTCTTCCTAGGCACCAGGGCTGACCTACGCTTCAGCAGCTGAGATTTGTGGACTGGGTCACCACCAGAGCACAGGTTGAGCGCTGTTTACAGTAATGTACTTTTAGCTTCCCCACTTCTGACTCTGAACTAAAGTGGCCCTGTCATTAATTCAGGGTGAGGAGTGACTGGCACCTGCACCTGTCAGCAGCCATGGAAATGGACCCGTCTCCAGAGGTTGCGTGAGCCTGGCTCCTCCTCCCCCTGGACTCTGGCTGGGCAAGGGCGCGGGTCGGGGATAGCACAGCTTGTGCTTTGCCTGGTTGCAGCTGATGGCTTTGTCTGGGAGTGCGGTCGGTGCCCCCTCGCAAGCAGCCGTGCTGTCTGGCCGGCCCGAAGTGCAGCCCAAATGCAGTGTGCGCACACACGTGCACACGTCGCGGCGGGCACGGCCCACTCCTCCGTGCAGCGGCGTCTGCTCAGCTCCGTGCTGTGCCCCTTCTCAGCGTTGTGGGTTCCCTGGCCTTACCTGGTGCGTTGGATGTACGGTTCCTACAGAACCCAGCACCGTCGGGAGCCTGGGGATGGGCACGCTCGGTGCTGCACAGGCCCCCACCCGCCATCGAAGGACAAGCGCCAGGCTCTGAAGCACAATTCCCTGTGACTTCATCACATGCGCTCAAAGAAAAAGGCAACACCGAGGTTCGGATTAAAAACACTTTGGATAGTGCGTTGCCTTTATTAGGTGGTTACACCAGAAGGTGCGCTGGAAGATACGGGTGTGTGGGGGTCAAGCTGCCTGAGCCTGCTCGGCCCGTGGCCCCGGGTGGTCGGCACAGTCGCACCTGAGGGCCCCGCCAGCCAGCAGAGGGACAAGAGGCATGGGACAAATGTCCTGTTGGGTGTCACGTTTTGGTCTATAAACTGGAAAGGACGGCTCAGACTCAATAAATATATTCTGGGTAGTGGCCTTAGTGAGCTCTGTCCACCAGTCTGCCCCGAGCGGGTGCTCCCCGTGGGCCGCGACTCCTGTGGTCCCCGGCGGCGTGGCTCCCGTCTGGGCAGGGAACAGGGCGTGCACCCCTGCGCCCCACCGACAGAATGGACGCCCCTCCCCCGGCAGACACCGCCGGCACAGCCATGCAAGACGAGATGCTGTCCGCACGCTTCCTAGTTGACCTTGTCCTGAAATATGTACAGGTTGTTGGTGGCGGCCACGGCAATGATGTTGTCGGCGGGGTGCCAGGCCGTGTGCAGGATCTTCTGGTTGAAGTCCAGGCTGTCCACGCTGATCTCGTCCTTCTTCCTCTTCCCGCCTGCACACACTCTTCGAGGCTTCAGGCTGGCACGGGGCTTGCTGTTCTCTCTGGAAGCTTCCAGGGTCACGTCCCTCCGTGTGTTTCTGTCAAACATCCGGAAGAAGTTGTTGTAGGACCCCGTCATAATCGCGCTGTTCAAACAGAGAGAGAAGCACGTGAGCCCTCGGGCACTTGGTGCCACGCCGCAGCGCCGGGCCAGCACGGGCCGGGCCGTGAGGCCACCTTCTGGGAGCCCCGTGCTGCTTCACAGAACCAGTCCTGGAAGTGAGACAGGAAAGGCAACCGGTCAGGAGAGAAGCGCACAGATAACGTCTTACTGAACTTCAGACGTTTTATAACTGCGTCAGTGAAAACATGTTACAGAATAAAAAAGGTAACGGATACACACTTTTTACTTACATTAATGTATTTTTGAAAAAGGTAACCTCCCCTGAAAACAGTCCTTTACGTGCCATCTTTCCAGGCCGTGAACAAGTTAATTTGTTTTCAAGCCCGCACCTCGGTCCTGCGTCAGTGACCTGCAGCTGACACCTGTGCTCACGTTCGGTCCACATTAGCCTGACCTGTCGCTGCAGCCTCATGGACAGGTGGTCAGAGAGTGTGTTTAGAAACCCGTTATTTCGGAACGTGTCCTCACACGAAGCAACAAGTCAACAAGGTCGAAGAAGTCCCTGGAGACGTGTGGGAGCAGAGCCTCGTTTCACGGCGACCCCCAGACGCAGCCCACCTCGCCTCGGCGGATTCCGATGGTCCTGGAGAAGCCTCTCGTCTCCCTCCAGAGCAAGGGGAGCAGGATGCTGAATGACAGCAACTGCTGCCACAACCTGACCCAGTCCAGCTCTGCCGGACATGTGGGCGACTCCGCCTGGTTTCTCCCGGCGCGGAAGCCCAGCCATCCTCCTGTCCCCAACCGTCCAGGAGCTGAGAGGGAAGCTGGGGTTTCACCTGCGCAGCTCCAGGCTGGTCTGGGCCGTGGGCGAGCACCTTCGTGTGTGCTCGACCTCATCCAAACTGCACACCAGAGAAAAGATCCACGCAGGAGGAGAATAGCTCCTGGCCAGCCGGGCTTCTTTCGACTGCGGGGACGCTGCCAGACGTGGGTGTAAGCGGACTCCCAGCAGCCTGGCCCAGGCACAGAGCAGGGACCCCCTGCACCTCACCCTATCCTCCAACAGAAACTTCCCGGCAAAAAGGCAGGGGAGTGTTTTTGAGAATGAAAGAACAAGTAAATGTTACTGGAAAGCTTCTGAAAGTTCCTGGGAACAGGTGATTAAATGGACATTGTATTAACTCAGAGGCACCAAAAAGGAAAAAGAATGTAAGAACGGCATGTCCCCACCAGGCACTGCTGACAGTCAAACACCACTGTGTCTCCTGCGGCACCGTCACTTGAAGCTGAGGCGCCCACCCCACGCCAGTCCAAGCCCTGAAGAGTGACGTGTCCTGAGACCCTAATGCCTCCCCAGCGCCCACCCCAGGCACCCGTGCCGGCTGCCGCCTGCCCCGGCATCTTCCTGAGCTGTCCTGGGGTCTGTGTGGCTCACTCTCCACAGCAGATCTCTGCCCCGAGCTCTGCGGTCCCTCTCCGAGGCCACGTTGGCCTGCGGTGCCCTGTCTGGGTTCAGTCCCTTCCTTTAACCTGGAATATTTCTTACTGCCTGTTCCGTGCCGTCTGATTTCAGGACCTGAGTTCTCGGAGGGGAAGCCCTGGTGTCTTTGCTGATGCACCCGCATGCGCCACCTGCAGCTCCGGAGCCCTGAGCCCTGGGTGAGCCTGCAGAGGCTCTGCCGTGGGTGCCACGTGCTCCTGCAGGCTTTGCCAGCGTGGCTCTCAGGTGCCATTTACCTGGTCCACTTGCCAGGTCCACTCTGCCCCGTGTCTGCAGGGGTCCAAGGGCAGGCTTGCTTACCATGCGCTGAAAGCTCTGGGCACCGCGGTGACACAGCCCGCTGACAGCACGGTGGCATCTGCCCGGGCCCCTTGCATCACTCCTAGGGGCGGGTGAGCCACGTGGACCCGGGAGTCTCACGTCCTCAGCCACCGCCCATCAGACGCTACGGGGAGGCACGGTGGTTCGAAGGCAGGGCAGTCCCGACCTGAGGCCACGTTGCTCCTGCGGAGGCCCAGAGCACCCCGCCCTCAGGACAGACACGCAGCAGCCAGACTCCACGTGGCTGTGACGGAGGGCAGGCTCATGGCCGAGAGTCTCAGGATTATTATCCACCGCGACCCAAAGCTGCAAATGAATTCCGAGAGCCCAACGGAACACAGACGGCGTCTCTGTGACCCAAGGGGGCCCAAATGCCTGGCCTGTGTGAGCCCACGGCTGGCGGTCCCACCCTGGGACCGTGCGAGTGGAGGTGCTGGGGCCCTAGCGCCCTCCCCACCCCCGCCCCCCGAGGGCTCCCTCCCTGTGTGCTCGACTGAGCTTGTACGGAGCTGGAAGTGTCAGCACAGTGTTTCTGGTGTTCGTGCCGAAGGGCTTGGCCAGTCCCTTTCTTCCAGAGTGCTCTGTGACACACAGGTCTCCTACAGATGACGCAGGGCCACAGCCTGGAACAGAAGTGTCCGAGTGACACTGAAGATGTGACTCAGCAGTGCCATTGTCTGTGAAGGACGGGCCCCGGACAGACCACCGAGGCGCTGGGGCTGTCCCGTCACCAGTCCACTCGGGACACCCCCCTGGCCACCACCACTGCTCTCTGCCCAAGCGTGACAGCTCAGGGACCCGCTGCTCCCCACTAGAAGAGGCACACTGAGCTGTGGGCCACCACACCCTTACTAGTGAGGGACCTCCCACTTCCCTCGTCTTCCCTCGGCTGGGAGAGAGGAGGAGACGAGGAATCCCATTCGCTGAGGATTAAAACAAGTCCAACACAAGCCCAGTGGTGCGCTCACTGTCCACACCCTGCCGGGGCCACAGCCAAGGGGACAGTCGCTGGGGTGTCCCGCTGTCCCCACAGGAAGACTGCCCCCCCCACACAGACGGCCCGGAAAGCCACGCCCACGGTGGGCCCCGACGCGGCTCACCTGTCGGGGCCGTTCCAGCAGCACTCGAACTTGTCGAAGATGCAGTCGTTCTCGTACAGGGAGCACAGCTTGCCGCGCAGGTACTCGTGCACCTGGACGAGACCACAGGGCAGTTAGGGCGCGGCAGGCTCCAGGGGCGGGTCCCCGCACAGCAGCCTCACCTGGTGGGTCTCGATGGGCCGGCTCTCCATGTTGAGGTCCCAGACCTTCACCGACAGGTAGTCCCGGGTCATCATGTACCGACCACTGTGACTGAACTTCACGTCGGAGATGGAAGAAATGATCTCTGAGAAGAAAGACCTGCTGCTCGGATCTTCAGGTTCTTCAAAAACTGAAAAACACGATGTTTTCAGCTTTTGTTTAGAAACCGGACAACCAGCCACTCTGACGCCCTGCGGGACTGGCTGGCTCCAGCTCCCCGCGTCTGCATGCTCCCGGTCTTCGACTGCTGCGCTGACAACATTGGGACAGGACGCTTCGGCGCCAGCGAGCGACAAGGGCCTGTCCCACCTGGACTCGGAGCAGCGCCCCTGTGGGCAGGGCCTCCACGGTTACCCGGAAAGCTCCTGGGCCACGCTGGTGTGGGGCCTGGTTAACGAGGAGCCTGTGCTGACCAGAGGCCATCACTGTAGATGCCTGTGTGTCCTCCTGGCACCAGGCCCTGGCAAACAAGGGCAGCCTCGCCCTGTCCCTATCGTCAGAAGACAGGAGTGACACCCTACAAAACGCAGGCACTGCACACAGGGCTGCTGAGAACACACCTCACCTTTGGCTAAGTGACTGCGACCTCCGCCTGGGCCCAGCGTGGTCCCGCTTCAATGACCCGCTCAGCCCACCTGGTACAAGGTGTAGTTTCTCTATTCAAGGGGCAGAGTCTACTCTGACGAGCCAGGACCACTCCCCTCAGAAAGAGCCCGGTGCTCCTTGGCTGACCTGCCTGCCTCCCAGTGCTCTCAGCGGTCGGTCTGATCCTCCACCTGCGCCGCTGTGGAGGCCGTGCCTGCCGAGCACTGGGTACAGCTGTGTCTGCAGCTCCGTCAGCCTGGGGCCAGGACGTCCACACGGCCTTTCGTTTTAAGTGGCTTAGAAAACGAAAAGGAGCCTGTGTGTCTGCTGGCACTGCATGCGAAGTCCGAGTTACGTAAGGGAGTGGCAACAAGCAGCTGTTCAAAAAACCACGGACAAAACTGCTCACTGAAGCCACTCACTCGGGTGCGGCCGTGGAGACAGAGGCCAGGCTTCCAGGACGCAGCCTCCCCTGCAGGGACTCTGCGGGGGTCAGAGCGCTTCTACACATGCTGCCTCGGAGTCAGAGCGCAGGACGGGGGGCTGAGCACGCTGATGCCGGCCCTCGCGCTGCTGCCACGCTCACGAGGGGGTGCGCCGGTGCCGGCTTGAACAGGGCGGCCCGCCAGGTGCCCTTCAGCACCAGCCAGCAGAGTCTCCATAACATACGTCACCCCCCCACACTGGTTTCTATAAAGTCGAGCCTATTTATGAGTAAAAATAAAACGAAAGCAACACTTTCCTTACTGGAAGGAAAGCCAAGTGCAGGACTGAAGTGCCAGCCTTTCCTGAGAGCCGGCTGCCAGCGAGGCACAGCTCCCGTGCACTCTCCCCACGCCCGGACGCAGGGGCGGCACTTACACTTGGAGTGCTGGTCGCACAAGGCGGAGGAGCGCATGTCGCACAGGCGGACGGTGCCCTTGCTGCTGCTGTACACGAACACGTTGCACTGGTGCGGGTGCAGCTCGGCCGCCGTGATCACCTCCGTCAGCTCCTCCATGTTCGCGGGCTTGATGTCCACGATGTCTGGGAGCGCGGTTAAGGTGGGAGCCGCGCGGCCTCAGCTCATCCATGGGCAACCCCGCAGTGAGGGCCAGAGACTGGCTGCGGGCCCGGCCACTGCACGCAGGCCTCTGGGAGCCACACACCGACCCCTTGATCACACACGCTCTCACACTCACCAGTGCTCCCCTCCTGCTGCTGGGGCTGCGGACGTCCTGAGGGGCCTCTGCACAGACTTAGGGACGGTCGTGAGAAATGCAAGAGCCCACCTGCACCCGAGTGCCATCCTCTGCCCACGAGTGACCACAAACAGCCATGCCCAAACTCCAGGAGGCCCTGCTGCCCCCATCTCTGCTGAGCAAGCAGACCAAAGGTGCTTCTGCAGCGCTCACGGACACACCGGGTGCGAACCTGCTGCACGGTGTCTGTCACAGGGAAGGGCGTGTGAGCGGGCCGCGTCAGCCAGTCCTTCCCGAGTCACAGTCCTCCTGGCTGACTAAGAACGGTGCATGTCCACAGGGGACAGGTGACAACGAGCAGTGACAAAACACTCACAAAGTCGGGTGTCAAGTTAACGGGAGCCCACGGCTCTAACGAGGGGCGTGTGAGTGAAGGGACACATGTGCAGGGACCCCCGCCATCACAGATCTGCGCCCCTGCTCACGTGGGGAGATGGCTACAACGTGTGAAGACAAAACGAGGTGCATGGTGGGGGCCCCGATCCGCACTGGGCACCGGGCTGGGAGCTGTGCCCACCATCTCCCTGCTTCCACAGTGACCCACGAGGCTGTGCAGGAGCCTGGGCTCTGCAGAGAGAGGGGCTCCTGGAGCCCAGAGGCTGGGGGCCACGGCCCTGGAGTTGCACTTGGGCCTCCTGACCACGCCCTGCCACCACCCGGTGCCAGGAGCATCACATCACCACGCGGAGGACGAGCTGGTGTCTTTCAAAGGTGAGGCACCTCACCACGGGCCGGACTCAGGCGCAGAGTCCCCCTTCCTCTGTAACGCTCTGGTTGCGTTCAGAGGAAAGGAGGATTAAAAAATCGGTGGGTTTAAAGGAGAATAGGGAGAGTGTGGGGGCATGGGCGTAAATGTAGGAATCCTCACTTGGGAAGTTCTGTCACGCCTGAGAAAGGAGAGGACAGGAGCCAGACAAGCCGCCCTGCGCCGGCGGTGGGAGCGGCGGGGCTTCCTCCAACGGCAGCACCAGAGGCTGCGGCACCGCGACGGTGTCCACACGAACCGAGTCACCAAGTCGAGTAACGGACGGCCGCTGTGAGTTCTGTGAGCAGCGCTAGAACCAACAGTCACACACACTCCGTCTCACGAGGTTCTCGTCACAGACCAGACACGCACGCACCAAACCGGAGCCACGGCAGACCCGGGGCTGAGATGGCGCAGACCGGCCAGACAGTGCTCCGAAGGGCGGAAGACCTGACTGCTCGACATGTATTGTCACAGGCCCCTCATTTTCTGGGGAACTTTTAAAATTCCCAGAAACTTTTAAAATGTGTAACTAGCCAGTAATATTTAATTTTCACCCTAAAAATAGTAGTAGCATATATCACTTAAAAGATGAGTTTTTGATTATTCCTTAAATAGCATGTCTTCTAAAATAGAATTTGCCCACGATCTGTCACTTCTTGGGTTGGGTAATTAAGTGTTGTTCTAACCAAGGGCAATATTTTCTATTAGCAAATTTAGCCAAAAAGAAAAGGCAACTCTGCCCTATCCTGTGTGTTACTTAAAACTGCCCCCTATTCCACCAGGAAGGCAGGGGCTTCGGCTGTCCCGTTGGAGAGAAAGGCCCCCCACAGGCGAGTTGCATTTTCAGGGACACTCATCCCAGGTGACAGGAGGGGTCAGTGCTGAGAGTTCCCTGTTGGAGGACAAGCCCAGGAAGGGGAGACCCAGCCAGAGAAGGATACTGAAGCTTCTGTCTGTGATCTCCAAATGCCACAGATTGACCCTCAGGTCATCTGCAGAAAGATACGTCTCATGGTCACTGTTCACGGAAATAGAATTTATATGGTATGTGTGAGCGTTTGCAAAAATTCGTCGTGGACTTGCTTCTACCATGAGGTCCATGGGCTTCAATATTGGGACCTAAACACAGAAGAAACAACAATTCAAAACAAGACCCCAGCAACATGCAATCAGAACACAGCTGGTACCAACAGGGACACGCCTCCATTTACAGGTAAGGGGCAGTCCGTACAGGTAATGCCCAAGCTGCTCCTCCTGGCTGCGACTACACAAAGGCTGCCACTTTCTTGGGGAAGATTAAACTGGCACCTAAACAAGCTGCCTCCGGGGCCCTGATGTGGCTCCACTGTCACCTTCTCTGAGCAGAATTACTGGGAAGTGAGCAGAAAAGACTGCCCTCACCTCAAACCAGTTCAGTGCTGACTGCACGCCTGTACCCTCTAGAGGATGAGGGTCTCACTCGGTCTGGGACAGCCGGGACGCTTACTCGGCCGGCCCCCCCTCTGACACCACGACGACGTGAGAGGAACACAGACCTCCAGAAGAGCACCCGTCCTCACTCTCACCCGCTCTCACCCGGCGGGGTCAGACGACCCGGAGTCCATTCTGGACCTTCAGAAAGGTGACCGGGAACTCGAACGTGGGCCTGAGCTGACAGCTAAGTCGCAGTGGTTGCCCAGCCTGAGACCCCCCTCACCCTACAATAGATAAGAGCAGCTCCTTCTCTCATGTTTCCCAGGCCACCAATTCCACCACTTCATTCGAGCCGAACACCTAAAAGCAACCTGGAATTAGACCAAGGTGGGGCCTTCCAAAGGCAGGCCCATGCGTGGCCCGTGGGGTGAGCAGGTGTGGTCAGGAGGAACGGGGTCCGGAGAGGACAGAGTGCTCAGGCAGGTGGCAGCTCGGGGGACAGGCTGGGGCAGGAGAAAGTGCACCCCGCAGGCCCCCCTGTTCCCCTTCATTACTCTGGGCAGTTTATGGGAGTGGCTGCATTTGGTGGCTATGGCCTGGTGTCATCGTCACTAACAGACTCTCCACACTGCCACGAGTCTTGGATGCATGGAGCAACAAGCCACCCTTGGGACCACCTCTTGCTTCCAGTCTGGCTTCCATAAGCTCCATCTAAGCATGTCACACAGCTTTCTGGGAACAGGGTGACCCTACTGACCTGAGAGACCTCAAGACGACTGTCCCACTTTGCACGCCTCCTTGACTGCCCTCACACGACCCCATCCCAGGGCTCCCGACACTGTGGCCCTGCCTTTGCTGCAGGGCTGGGGCTCCGTCCTGTGGGCCTGCCACCCAAACACCCTGAGTGCACCCAGCCCAGGAGAGCCTCGGGCTGGCGTGACACAGACGTGCGCAGGGCTAGCATCACTGCAGCGGGGGGTGGGGGTGGAGGTGGGGACGGCCCCGCAGCACAGCCCCGTCTGCCATTCTGAGCGTGGGTGCCACCCAGCCCTCACTGACAAACAGCCGAGCGGGCCCCCACACACAGCGGCAGCTCTGTGCCGGGGCCCTCTGCATGCCACAGGGGCTGGTCTTCCCGAAGCTTCCTGGCCACAGTGGCGCTTCCTGGGTCGCAGGCCTGGCCGAGATGTGGGTGGTTTACCTTCCTCACATTTATGGTACTATCCATGGCATGCACCAACAGGCCAATTACAAGACTAAGATTTCAAGTTTTGCTCAATTTCGTCAACGTTAAAAATGTGAAAAAACCTAGGTATCGGAATTGATGAAACATGGCTATTTCATACTGTGCCCAGGGATGCCACAAAGGGAGTGGAGAACTGGACAATTTAAAAAAGTACCGATGCTCTCGGGCCAACAGGCAAGCACTCTGAAGCATGAGGGCCTTCCTCAGTTAACTCGGAGGAGACCCAGCTCCACCCGCCTGAGTGTGCCTGCCCCCCCCCCCTCCTGTGGCTCATCCTTCAATCTGCAACTGGAGCTCCGCCCCCTGGGGAAGTTCCTGAACTCCTCCGGTCACCCCTCCCAGGGGTCACCCCTCCCAGGGGTCACCCCTCCCAGGGGTCACCCCTCCCAGGGTCACCCCTCCCAGGGGTCACCCCTCCCAGGAGCTATTCTGAGCCTGCACAGGGAAAGGGAGGTGGCACTGAGAAAGACTCCTGCTGGGAGATTCGGTCAGTCTTCCTCCTGGCCGCTCTGTTTCCTGAAGACGGAGTGGGGCTTGTGCTAACACACGGCGCATGGGACGGCTGCAGTGTCACAGTGACTTTCTGAATCAGAAGGCAGGGCAGAGCTGACTTGGGCATTACAGTCACTTTACGGAAAGAACCGACAGGGTAAAGAAAATGGAAAGTGTACCCGCAGTGCTGTGATCCTAAATGGGTCTCGAAGTCGTCCGTCTTCATCTTTCAAGTTATAACCTTCTGCTCTTTTGTCCCGTTCACTTATTTTCCATAATTTAATAGTTTTATCTGAAAATAAAAACCTCATTCTCCGTATGAGAGGAAAAACCATACCACGCCCCACTCGGTTGGGCCCTCTATTAGGAAGCTCTGTGTGTTTCTGCTTCTGGGCGAAGCCTCGTTTCTTGCAGGAGCAGCACCATCAGAGCTGACCACAGGGAGGCTGCAGGGGCGCTTCCTCCACATGCGAGGGCTTCCTTTTCCTTTCATGAGTGGGAGCCATGGGAGAGAGTGTGTGTGTATCTGTAGACTTTGGTTTTCAAATTATCACTTGCTTCCTAGTGAATAATTACCCTCCCCCCAAAGTTTAAAGCAGAAATAACTTCTGGAACAGGTTAAAGTAAAAAAGAACCTACACATAGAAAATTAAAATCCTAAAGCAAACAGCCATTGAAAACAAAAGCTCTTACCATTTGTAGAAAGTAGAAAATGAGCAGCGTTCTGTTGTGGTAACCACCTAATTTTATTAATTTTTTCCTCAATTTCTAGACTTTTCAAATAGTCAAACTCTGGTTCATGACTTTGAAAGGTACTGTAAACATTATATTCTCCCCTAGAATGAGGGCGGCTTTTGTTCTGCAAGGAAACATGAAGCTGTTTTAACGAACAAGCACATCGCAGGAGAAATGTTAGCACTACCAATACAAACATCAAGTGACCACACACATTTCTGAAAGTTAAAAAACCCTGGGTTAACAAATGGTCCAACAGAAGACACTCGAAACTAAGCTCCTGAGTAAGCAGAGATGCAAGAGAGACGGCGCCCGGCCCCTCTGCTGTCGCCCGGCAGGGTCCTGGCACAGCCAGGCCCCGCTGCAGGACCTGGTCTGGCTGCTGCCCCCGCCCTGGCACAGGGGGAGCAGTGGTAAGAGCAGGGCCACAGAGGAGACCGTGCCGAGTCTGCCCACTGCAGGATGGGTCCAGCCATCAGCTGGAACAGCTGGCCAGCTCTGAGGCTCCACCGACAGGGGTGGGGTCTGCTCCAGGGCAGTAGCTGCAACAGATGAGCTGGCACAGGAAGCCCCTTACCCAGAGACCTGTAGCACGAGACCTCTCAGGCCCATTTTTAGCGCACAGAACCACTCCGTATGCTGAAGTGCAAGCAGAAAACCAGGCTTGGGAAGACGCATGCTGTCACCAAAATATCACCCAATTCGGGAGGCACACCACCGAGCTTGGTTCAGCAGTGATGTGCAGGGGAAAATGGGGAGGGCACGGCAAGAGCTTCGTCCACACAGCGAGGGCCTTCTTTCCCTTTATAAACAAAGTCTGGGTGCTGGGTTCACATGCATAGTTACATTCATCTCTGAAATCTTCACTCATGGCCAATGGTATTTCTATAAATATTAAACATTTCATGATTAAAAACAAAGATGATCAGTATTTTGTTAATTCTTGCTCTACAGTGAGTGTCTAAAGCAGTCCCGGTTTTAGGTGTCTAAATGTCTGATCACTACGCTGTACACCCGAGACCGACGTGATACCGCATGCTGACCGTCACTGAAGACTGACTGAGCGCGCCTCTGTGTGCAGATAGATGCCACCCTGCATCTCTGCATTAGATCCAGCAGCATCAGAAACCACCCCCATGGGCTACGCACAGGTCTCCAGCGCCGGACTCTGCCTGTGTTGTGTCTGCCTTGAAGCTGCCCTTGGTCAGCAGGGCCGGGACATCACTGTCCCCCGATCCCTACCCCTCCCTGAAAACACAGACCCCAACACGTACTTGTACCTCACAGATGAAGACAATGGGACCGACGCAGTGAAAGGAAACCTATAGAGTCAGTCAGTCCCGAGCCTTAAGACATCTATCTGCTAAGAAAAACAGTAAAATGGGAACTGGCAAATGAGATGCCTGTGTTTAAGTGCCACCAGCACTTCTTGGTCACTCCCTGCCAGCACAGGGCCCGAAGTGGCCAGCGCCATTCCTGCCTGGGCTAGGAGAGGCACGGGCAGGAACAGTGACAGGAAGGGGCTCTGCAGGGACTGGGTTCTTGGCAGGACTGAGCGGAGCCTGGTAAGCCAAGGAGAGGAGGAGGCAGGCAGTTGGCTGCTGTGGGCCCCCGGGCCCCCAGACCCCCGCTGCACCCAGACGGACTCTCCCACAGCCCTGGGGCAGTCCCGACGCTTGGGCACTGCAGCACCGAGCTGCAAGGCTGGGCTGCACAGCCCTGTCCTCCAGCCCCCGCACAACAGACACGCACGTGGGGCAGGGCTCCCGGACAGAGGGCCCTGCTGCTACACAGGAAAGAAGCTCGAGCCCACAGTGCTGACTCCGCCTCCTGCCCATCCTCCGCGCCTGGCCCGCTGGTGACCGCACCAGCAGCACCTCTGACTACGGACGCAAACACAGAGGTTTGCACTCTGAAAGCTGTACCACTCAAGAAACCTGTCAAAATGCTCGCATTTCATCGCCACCCGTCTCACATTTGGAGCTCGTTTTTTGAGCTTCAACGATGACCCACAAAAACAAGAAAAACTCATTTTCTCTAAGGACACCATCAAAGTGGCAAACTTGAGGGAGCTACATGCGAGCTCTCAAATTTAGGACAGCTGACTCAGCAATCTGGCGCACAACTCTTCTGCTAAGGTAGTATCCCAGCACTGCCGCCTTCGCCGATTCCCTCGAAAAGGGCCCAGCACACAGCTCTTCTCCAGCTCTGTGGTCACCCACCCATGTGATCAGCGTGCTGAACTGTAAACTTATCAAGTTGTCTGTGAAGATTCAGAAAGATGAATGAGTGGATGTAATGTTCACAAAAGAATTCTCACCGCCCCAATCAGATAATCAGGATTGAAAAACTTTGTACATTTTCAAAGACCTCCATAATGAAAGGCCTCCATTATGGCCATAATGAAAACCGGAGTCTCTCCCCATTTACCCCAGCAACTTGCCCCTTTTGCTGAGAGCCTGGGCCAGCCCCAGACACTCCTTGGTCCCCTCTGGTGGCGTGTGCCGCCCCACAGACCTCCCTGGAAGAGAACAGGGGCTCTCGAGCCCCTGTACCAAAGTTTCACCATGAAAATTGAGAGATCAAGATTTGGAGACAGGGAAGTGCCCACTGGTCTTGCCAGGGAACAGACAGGAAGGGCCCAGCTGTGAAAAACGAGACACACTGAGGGGTAGGGTGGGGGCGGCCAGAGCGGTGGTGTGGGGTATGACCTTGCTGCTTCCGGGTGTTCTCAGAGTGGCTGGTGAGCCCCCAGGAGTGAAGGGGTGGGCAAGGCCAGGCCGTTCCCACTCCCTCTATGCACGACTGAAAACAAGGGTTTCTCTTCCCTGGGACCCCAGAGAGGGATGTGACCTACGGCTAGCGCTCACGAGTGAGACTCACCTGTGGGCCCCTTACAGGCCTGGTTCTGAGGACACTTCCCCTTCCTGCGCTGACAGCACAGCCCTTAAGGGGTGAGGAGGAAGAGGGGCCAGACGCCCCCCACCCCTACCGTGTCCCGGGCAGCACCCCGCGCCTCTGGACCCCAGGCCGGCGCTGGTGAAGGGAGTTCACGGGGAGCCCTCTGATGAATTACAGGATGAGAACACACCAATGCAGCAGCCCACCCCCTACGCCCTCCATCTGGCCCTCATGGTGCGGTGACAACCCGTGGGCAGGACATGGGCTGTCCTCCTCCCCTGAAGATGAGGGAACTGACTGAGGCCCCATGGCTGGGTAGCACTGAGCTGAGTACGGATCACCTGGAGATGATTCTGGAAAAAAGAGTCTGTCTGGTTAAAGTGGCGTCACAGACAGAGGACGTAACTGTGCTTCCTCCTCGTCAACGATCTAAGGAGGCTGACTCACTTCACGGGGGGTGTGGATTGTAAACTACTGACCTCTTGTTCCCGCTGAAAAATAACAACTCTGCCACCCTTGTCTCCTGTTGCAAGAAGATCTCCAGAGTAATTAAATTCAACAGTTGAGATGATGTCAGCTGTCAATAAAATAGAGAAGCAATTAACCAGGTTTTGGTAGTGAGATGTCAAGGTGAATATCAAAAACCAATCAAAAAAGTCAAAAGATAAACACGTATAAAATTTTCTCCCTGGATTAAGTCAACCATGCAGCCTCTTCTTGGTTCTGGGGCCCAGAACCAAGGAGCACACAGGGATTTGCGGGTTTTCCTGTGCACCAGGATCGATCTAGACTGGGTCGTCTGCATGTAAGGACAGAGGGTAGAAACCTAGAAAATGAATACTGAAAAGAAAAAACTGGTCCCAGGAGACTGCTAATTTATAGTGCATGCCTCATATTAACATTTAAAATAAGCCTGTTACAAAACATTAACAGAAGCACTGTGATTTCCACACAGTAACTTGGCTGGCTTCTGCACCAAAGGGCACTGCAGACAGTAGAAGTTCTGTCCCACTGTCTGGGTCAAGTCGCTGCTCTGACAGTGATGACATCACTATTCAGTAAGACACTGCTGGGTGGATACCTGAGACTTCTGACTCGATCAACACACAATTAGCTCCTTAGGGGACACAGAGGACAAAGCCAAGTGCTGGACACATCCTTAGGTGTCCTAAGTCTAATGCTTGAGTGAGAGGGAGCAGATCTGAATTTGTGGCGGTGCAGACACTGAATCAAAAAAACCCACGCCACCCCCACTCCGAGGAAACAGCACTGCCCCCGGTCCTACCCCAGGGCCCACAGAACCACAACCTTGGTGTGGGTGTGGTCTCCCCAGGGGCTGCTACCTCTGTCCTCTCTCTGGCTGCTCTGAGAAAGGCCTGGTTGCACCCCTGGTCCACTGGCTGCTGGGGCGCCCTTTGAAGGGTGCAAAGGATGTGTCCACCAGCAAATGACAATGGCCTTAGGGGCTGCAGGGCCACTGAAGCCTGTTGCCGAATGGCTGTCACATACGATGTCTGCTCTAATCAGAAGCAGACCCCAATGCTGAAACTACTTGAAGAGCCGCCCACAATATAATACAATTCATGAAGGTGTGCACAGACATTCCCATCGAAGAACTATAAAATGATTTCTTACGGCACTGGCCCCATATACCAACTTTAAAAAACATACTGAATTCTATTCCCTGGGATTTCTTTTTACTTTAAACAAAACAAAAAACAGTTAGACTTGGGAAAAGGATTAGGCTTCTTGTTAGAAGCATTATTTTTCAAACTAAATTACTCAAGATAACCTATTCTGCTTAAATGAAACCAAAATTCTGCACTGGACGAAAGGGGCCAAAAATCCATGTCGTTTTTCCCAGGGGGTGCACCCTATTTTGTAATTAATGGCATCCTGGCTGTCAGTGACTGTCAAACCTAATTAAAACAGACTGACTCTTTTAAAAGAAAAAGTCCCATGATGGTCGGGGGTGAGGAATTATTTTCATTCAGTTGTGTAATACATATAAACCTAAAATTAGAAAAATCTTCTCTAGTTCCGAAAAGCTCTAAAATCAAAATAAACATGCAAACTAAATACTAACAAAGTTACGAAACCAATAAAACTTAAATTACCGCCGTGAATCTCATGTGATAAACACTCCGTTACAAAACTAGGCTGACGCCGACAGCGGATGTCCAACAGTGACCGAGGGTCCCAGGCTGGCACCTCAATGCACCAGGCACAACAGCACGTGGCCCCTGGCCACCCCAGTGTGGCCCTGCAGAGCGAGGCTGCTGGGTGACATACAAGCAGCCCACCCTGGACATGTTGCCGTGCGACACGCCTGGTGAGTACAGAACCACTACCGCCCACGGCGCCCCCCAATGCCATGGAGCGTGCTCGGCAGCCCTGCGTGTCCGCCTCAGACTCTGAGGTGCGGCAGACAGCAGGAAACCAAAGCGGCCCTGCCCACAAGGTGACAGGGAGAAGGGCCGGAGGAGCGGAGACTGACTGAGTCTGTTCAGAACTGGTGGGCCCCCCCCCGCTCTTGCATCCCAACTCCCAGAAGGGAATTGTTTTCCTCCGTCCCCAGGGTTCCCCCCCCAAATGAGAAAGCCCTTGAGAGAAGCCAGGAAGGGTCAAACCCACAGGGTCCTCAAAGAAATGACCCGCCACAGCAGGCAGCTGAAAAGCCCACCTGCATACAGAAAGTGCCTGTGGATCCAAAGCGGCTCCATCTGAAACATGAACCCACAGCTCAGAACTGGCTCATGTGTAAGAGGAAACCCAAAGCAAAGAAGGAACGTGCAGGAAAGAGGGAGAGAGTGGCAATAAAATGTCAAAGAAATAATTCACGGCCCCTGCGCTGGCCAAGTGCTGGCCAGATGCCTGGTGCCACTCTTACCAAGCACACCCCGGCATTAACCCAGTGCCACAGTCTGTGGAGCGGCTGCCTGGCAGAGCAGCAGGCCCTGGGCACTGTATCCCTCTGGCCCCCGCAGGACTCCCAGGCAGGAGGCCAGTGACCACAGACAGGTCCCTGGAGGACGAGCAGAGAGCTATGAGGCAGGAAAAGCAACAAGGCAGTGCTCTTTGAAATTCAAATGTACAACAAGAATTTAAAAACCTCACAAGTCTTCCAAAGGGTATAGCAAAAAGACAAAAAGGTGGCCAACTGGGAATAACAGCTACTCAGAGGGTCAGGGTAGGGGGCCCATCACCCCGCTAGCAAGTTCCAGAAAGACAGGAGAAAAGAAAAGAGAAATCACCAAAGGGCCAAGGAATGTCCCAGGAGGCAGCACAAGGGTTCCAAACCGACGGAGCCCGGGGACAGCCATCGAGTGAGGAGCAGACGCAGGCGATGCACACGCGCCGACACCCAGAGCACCCAGGACGTGAGGGAGACTCTCTAGCCCCCAGAGAGTCGGCCTGGAGACAGCAGTCCCAGCTGGAGCGGACTGTGGCCAGAAGAGGTCATGGGGCAAACACGCTGAGTGTCACCTCCTGGGTTTGGGAAAAGTCACACAGTCTGTGAGGTCTGCTGAAGTGTCTGTTTAGAAGAAAAAAGCACTTGCCCTGGCTGGTGTGGCTCACTGGATTGAATGTCAGATGGCCTAGGAATCAGAAGGTTGCCAGTTCGATTCCCAGTTGGGGGACACATGCCTGGGCTATGGGCCAGGTTCCCAGCAGGGGGCACACAAGAGGCAACTACACACTGATGTTTCTCTTCCTCTTTCTCCCTCCCCCCCTCTAAAAATAACTAACTAACCAACTAACTAAACAAACAGATACATACATACATAAATAAATACAATTTTAAAGAAACAAAAAAAACAGGGACTCAGCACTCGAAAAACTAGGTGATCGTCAGCTCTAGAAAAACAGCACCCTGGCTCAGTAATAAACCACGCTTACATAGTCAACACGATACTGATGTAACCGAGACCTTTAAGAAGTCTCACCCCCCTTTTTGAGGAGGTGTGGGTGGTGATATTAGATATTTGTAAAGGAAGTTCTGTACGACGAGCTGACTACATCAGTCAGCTCCCTGAGAGTGAAAAGCCACACGGGGATGTCAGGTAAACCGTGTAACCCCTGCTTCCTGTGGCCTGCAGGGCCAGGGCACTCTGGGGCGTTACACGTTCCCACAGAAGAAAAACTTCCTGCAGACACGAACAAATGTGCGTGTCAGTGTAGTGCATTACAGGCATGTACTGCCTCTCTAACTATGTGTTTTTAAAGCATATCATCAAAGACCTTAAAAAGAGACCAGACATGGATGGACAGAGTTACAAGTGTCTACCAGATATAAAGTGGAGAACCACCGAGAGAGACAGGGCAGGAGACAGAGCGAGCAGGGTTCTAAACTGTGGACTGCCACCTAGAGGCACCCCAAGTTGCGTTCTACAAATTAGGACCAGACTGAGTAAAATTAGCAAAACATAAAATCAGTTACTAAAAAGAGGGTTTGTGGCAAATTATGCTAAGATGAAAATGGCAGAAGTCTCTGCCACCAGCACACACAGTTGTGACCAGTGTCGTCCTGTGTGTCAGCCTTGGCCTGCTCAGCCCCCGACACCCAAAGGGTCGGTTGGTGGTTCGATTCCCAGTCGGGGCACGTGCCTGGGTTGCAAGCCAGGTTCCAAGTAGGGGGCGTGTGAGAGGCACCACCCCTGGTGTTTCTCTCCCCCCCCCTCCTTTCCCCTCTCCAAAAATAAATAAAATCTTAAAAAAAAAAAGACACACATATAGTAGACCTAATTGAACGCTGGGTAGGAGAGTGTATGAAACAGGGGCAAAAGAATTAAAATTCAAGGTTAACAGTAAAAATTCAAAGAGATTAATATTCATAACACAGATGGCTTTAAAAATTTGATTTTCAAAAAGTGCAGTAGAACTCACGAGACAAACAGAGCCAGTTTCTGGAAGGAAATACAAATTCCGACACTGGCCACACCGCTGAACCAGGCCACCTTCAGACTGCCGCTCTCCGTGTGAGTGGGGAGAAGTGCTGCGGGAGGTGTGCGTTGGCACTGCCTCCGAGGGCAGCCCCGCAGCAGCGGACACGAGTGGCCCCTGGCAGTGCATCCACTCCTAGGAGTCCGGCCGCAGGAGCACCCACCTGCACAGGGAGGGTGGGGGACCAGACCCTGCTGCAGCATCTGTGATAACAGCAAAAACCGGAGACCGACAAGAGGGACCAGTTAAATAAATGAGGTCGTCTGAGTGACGAACTACTGTCGGCCACGGAAAGAATCAGACAAAGCTTCACAAAAAGGGAGTGCGCTGCAATGTCTAAGTGTGGGCCCTTAGGACTGGACACACAAGGACCGGAGTCCGGGCTCTCACACCCACTCGCGCTGCGACTTTTGGCTGAGATCCAGCCCCCCATCTGAGACGAGGGCGGCCGAGGCGATGGTCACAGGAGCCCCAATGTGCGCGCGCAGCTCCGCGGCCGCCAGGTCGCCAGCCAGTCTCAGGTGCAGATCAGAAACACAGAGCAGCAAGTTGCAAAACAATGTTTATAAGATTCACGTTTGTAAGGAATAAAAGAATTACCGCTCACATGCTGACTACATTTTTAACACAAAA